AATAAGTTTTATATAAATAAATTTTATAGTATAATAAGGGCTCCAGTCTTGAGCTGAACAGAGTATTTCTCTGCCAAAAAAGGGTTATCAGGATACTTTTTGGTATGAAGGTCAAAGACTCAATGAACAAATTATTGACAGTACCAGCAATATACATTTTTGAGTCATTAACATTTTTAGTAAATCAACCAAGCTACTTTGAAAAGCATCATAAAACAAGATTTAGGAATGATTTTTTATATCCAATACATACAAAATCTATATGAAAGAAGTACTGTCTAAAGTGCGATTACATTTTTTAATTCTCTCCCACAGGAAATAAGAGACATTGGGACGGCCATAAGTTTTTTGAAGCCTGTAAAATAATTTTTATGCAATATAGAGCCTTATACTATAGATGAATATTTTAACAGTTGATTTTAAATTTTATTTTATCAACTCTACCCTTAATATGTGTATGTGACGTGTTTTATTCAAATTTTGTATCTTATTACTCTTTTGTGATTTTGTTCACTAACTTATTCCTCGGACAAAGTATTTCTTTTAACTTCCATACAAGATTCACATATACTCTGTATAAATAAATGAATATCTATCTATCATCTATCTATCTATTATTTACATAAACAGTAGATGCTTACAATTCAAAGAAAAAAGTTTTTTCATAAAAACCTTTATATCTGAGTTATGTCGAGGAGCACACTTGAAAACAAAGCATCTTTTTAAGCGGCAGTAGTTTGTACTCAAATCATTTATGTATATTGAATTTCCCATGAAATAGAGAAAAGGAAAGGTTAGTATTTTTAATGTAATGGATGAATTTCGACATTCATCTCTGTAGTCGATATTGTCTAATATTCTAATTGCTTTCCGTTGGTGTCGGAATATTCTATTACAATCTGTTGCGTGTCTCCAGGCGACAATACCATAAGAAATAATGGATTCATACAAGGAAAAATATGCCGTTCGATGAGTTGCTTTTGAAACTTGTCTGGAGAGGTTTTTTAGTGAAAATAGATTTCTCATGAATTTTTTTGATAGTGTTGAAAGTAATATAATGCCAAGTTGAATGAAAAAAAGCACAGCTATGCTCTTTGTAACCCGCTTTGGCTATCATTCTTATGGCATTTTTCTGGCATCTAAAACGCTAATGGAATCACCTGAAAGATCCCTCAATCAGAATACCGTGTGACATAACTGAGCGAAATAATCCATAGTAGACTCTTTTGAGTCTACTATGGAGTGATATGTTCAAACCAGCTCAATCTATTATCAATAACAAATCCTATAATTAGAAAATTGTTTCAAAGAATGTTTGAAGGACTTAACAAGGACTCAAATAAAAAATCTCTTTCCACGCATATTCCATGAATTCATAACTATCGCCAGATAAAGGTATATAAAGAGTTTTATCTGATATATTGAAAGTTGAGATTCCAAATCCATCTACATAAAGCTCTACTGGAAGTCTGTTGAGAGGCCTACCTTATGTCGTAGAAATTCTTAAAAAAAACGAATATTATCCAGGTTAATTTGACAGCTACAACTGATCAAAATAACGAATTTTTTCAACGAAAAAATCAGTTATTTTGAACATTTTTGAGAATCGTGGAGTGATACCCTTTTTATGGCGGCGCAAAAAAGTTTTAAGAATAAAATTATGGCCGCTTCTACAAACTGGTTAAATTTATGCATGCAAGTTCTTCGTATGTAATGTTTCGCACCGTATTTCAATATTTTCCTGAGTGCATGACAGGTATGTAACACTAGACAGATACGTTACACTACAGTGTTCAAACAGCAGAGTTGGATAAAAAATTCCTAGGGCTTTTTTTTTTTTTTCAAAAATCGTATTTGAGCAAAACCAATTTCAATTTTTAATCGTGAGTACGTTCTGTCTGTTCAAAAAATGAATTAAATTTTCATTTTTCTCAAAAAATATTCATTCGGTCATCAATTTCTATTTTGTACCATTCAAAGTAGTCCCTCTCAGATATAATACACTTGTGTCAGCGTTTCTTTCTATCCTCAAAGCAGTTCTGGTATGCACTTTTTGGTATGCCTTTGAGCTTTATCAGCGATTTGATCGTCGCAAAACGCTGTCCTTTCATGGGTCTTTCGGGAACAGAAAAAGTCGCAGGCGATCAAATCCGGTGAGTACGGTGGCTGATGCATGATTTCGGTATTGTTTTTGTCCTCCTAGGTCATCGTCCTTTCCAGGAAGATGGACAGGTCACCAGAAGACATCCCCTTTATATCGGCAGGTGAAGGCCAAGACTCGCCGAACACACTCTCTATTTGGCAACCTTGAGGTGTTTCACAGTGACCTTCGCGAAGGTTTTGGAAGGTGCAGCGACATTACTGTCGTTGCGCGGCTTCTTCAACCTTTTTGGGGTTCCCTCCATGGAGGTGCTCAAGTAAGGGCGCTTTCCTGCAGGGGCAGCCGGTTCCTTGCATTTATTCAAGGCGCCCCCCGCAGGAAGTGCCCTTGTTGTTGAATGTGGAGTCGAGGAGGAAAAGGGTACACTTATAGTTGCTGCCATTCCTGCGTCTATCGCTCTCTTCCTCCTTTTGACCTCGGCGCCGCAAATGCGCTGACGCCTTGGCTTTTGTATTATTTCACGAGGTGATCTGCCATGTCCAGCCTTATTCCGAGCGGTAGATTGGGACATTTTTGTGAACATATGCTCGAGACAAAAAAAAATCACTAATCGGATGTATATAGCCTGCAAAATGTGAACATTCAATTTATTTTTTGAACAGTCCACGTCTAGCACTTTTTTCAACCAAAAAAAAAGTATTTTCACTTGCAATTGAATTGTGATTTGCTTTTAAAAAGTAGAATATAATTTTCAATTCTCAATGAATATCATATGTACTATGGTTGAGTGATAATCTTCAGTTGAACATATAAAATATCAGCTGCAGCTGTAGTTATTCCTGCAATCTCGGAAATGTTAAGACTTTCATGGTTTGTGAAATTGGATATAGTTTGCCTATTTTGAGGGACAATTAAAATATTTTCACAGATCGCGTCTAACAATGGTCGTTTTGGATAACTTTTTGTGTTGGTTACGATCTGGTATGAACCTATTTTTATGAGACTCTGTATATTTGAAAATATTTCAAAAAAAGGCATCGATATCTAAACTTGTACAATTGCTCGTGATGCTACCAAGTATACAAGACATGTGTGGAACATAAACGTATGAAATATACACCTATCTTGATATTCAAACCTGTGAAAAGTCATCTGGTTCTGAAATTGATTCAATCAGTTTCGAAACGAACGCATGTGTGATGAGTGCTTACTTTTCCAAAATATCCCAGTTCCGCTGTCATTAAATGGAACTGTAATCAACCCTATTGCTTAGAGTCAATCAGGTGAGATCCTGTTTTATTATTTCGCATATCACATGTCACCATTAAAAAATGAGTCTTTTTAATCGACAGATTGATCCCGCGCACAAGGCAAAGCGAAAGAGTACGGAGGAGGATACAAAGTATCCGACAGCAAAACGCTAGTCTCGATACAGTGGAACGCCAATCCCTGCAAACCACAGAGCTGTCTGTTACCGTCACCAGTAGCACTTCAACGAGAAGATCAAAGAAAAAACGAAAGAAATCCAGAAGGAAAAGGTCCACACGAAAAACCCAAGTCAGAATCGTGTATGAGATAGATGAAGTAACGGGGGAGACCGTAGCGGTAGAAAAACGGAGCAGGAAATCGACTAGAAGGAGGAAAGCTAGAAACAACCGATCCAGAGAAGGCAGGCCGACGATAAAGCCTAAGACGGTTAAGAAGAGACTGGCACAACAGTTGGGTATTTGCGCCCCTAGGTCGGTGCCTCAGAATTTGCCGGACGTGAAAGTACCGAACACGCCGAATACTATCGGAGGAATGAGATACCAAGCCGGTATACCAACTCTGCACTTATTCGGACAAAATAACGATTTGGATTATTTCTCTGGAGATGAGGAAGATTATTCCCCCGGGTCTCAGTTACTAGCTCGTAGAGCTCCTAATCAATCGGACGTATCAGCCATGCGCCGTACCATGAGGAGAAAAACTATGGTAACTCTGCCGGAAACGGTGTCGAGCTCTACCGATCTCTTGGACAGCATCCTGAGCAGTCAAGAACAGTTTCACTCAAGAAACGCATCCTTTTCTGTAGATTCTTCCGGTAGATTCAAGATAGAGAATACTTCAAAAAACTACGTCGATGTTACTAAGGAACGCGCCAGCGCCAAGGAAGCACCGTACTACAACAACAACCGTAACTATAATAACAGTAATCGCTGGTACAACAACAGGAACCAGAATAATAGGTACAACAACAGGCAGTCGAATTACTATTCTAATAACCAGAATTCCAACTACTACTCAGAACCCTCCTCGTCCATGGGTTACTCGGGAAATCGGCCTAGAGGCGAGGAAAACAACTACCCGCAGGACTACACTCAGAGGACCTTATGCGCCTCCAGCGATATTGACAACCAGTATCAGGAACCCGAGGAGAGAGACGAAAACGCTGCCGGTACCAGCAAGCCCAATAGCGAGTCCGAGCTAGACATTTACAGCGACATCGAAACCGTCAGCACCAGCAAAGCGGACGAAAGCTACATGAGACCTCCTTCTCCTCCTATAATTTCCAATACTTCCAACACTCCCAACACTTGCACGGATGATGATAATAACGATAGCGAGCCCGACATGGTGATCGACGACGAGAAGGTACAAGAGCAGGAAACCGTCGTCGACAAGAGGGAAGAAACTGCCGTCACCTCCACGGTTGATTACAGCAACGACGTCGAGCCTCCTGCGGAGTTCTACGACCCCAACAGCTACTCGACGGAGATTCAGTCGGGGGCTGTGCAATCATCCAACTTGGATTACATAAAAAATTACGGTTATGACGAAGAAGAAGACGACACCGATGACGGGTGCCCGAACAGCAACATCTACTCCAAAGAGGCAATGGAATCGAACGCCGTGGAGGAAGACGTCGATTCAGATGACGGATGTCCGAACTTCAGCATCTACTCCAAAGAAAGTAAAAGCGTCGCCATGCGTACCGAAATATCTTTGCCCGTAGGGAGCGCAGAGCAGGATAACCAGGTCGGCGAGATCAGCTCGTCACCGAACGTTGCTGAAGTTTCGGTGAAACAGAACGAGGATCAGCAACAGGGAAGCGCGTCCTACGAACCCGAATGTACTTACGATCCGGAGAATATTTACGAGCAGGATGATGAGGGCGAGGAAAAAAGCGATCAGGTAGATAAGCCGGAGGAAAGGGTCGAAGAAGAAACGTATGATCCAGCCAAATGCTTCGACGAAGAGGAAAGTAACGACGGAAATAAGAGCTACGACCCGGAACAAACGTACGATCCCGAGAAAATCTACGAGGATAACAGTAATTCGGTGAAAGTGGGCGATGACGAGAACAGCAACGCGGGAAAGGAGTACGACCCAGAGAAATGCTACGATCCAGAAAAAGAAATATCCGACGATAATTCGCAAGCTACCGATGATGTTAATACCGCCGGGAATAGGTACGATCCGTCCGTACCGTTCGATGGCGACATTAACGACGACCACCACGAATCTGACAACGATAGCGTGGTGAGAAAGTCGGCAGAACAATACCAGGAAGCTGTCGAAGCCTTCAACAAGGAGTACCGAAAGTCGGACGTTACGTCAGAAACAAATAACGACAATTTAGAGGAGGGAGAACTAGAAAAGTCCAACGCCGACGACGAAGTCCTCCAAACAACGCTTCGTAAACCCAAGATCAAAGGTGGTATTACCGGCGGTCTCTATAGCGATTCCGAAGACGAGAACGTTGTTCGAAAAGACGACTCGAAATTCGCCATGTCCGATATTAATGACATGACTGAGGATATCAGCGAGGAGGAGAGGAGTTACACGCCGTGTTTGGACGAAAAATCTCACCGCGCCGGCCTGGAAGGCTTGGACACTGAATTGATTTCCGATGAGGATCGAAACGATTTCGACGAGTCGCATGAATTGAAAACCGTTTCTGATGGCGATGCCTTAGAAATAAACGCCAAAGAATCCGAGCTCGATTTCACGAGACCCGAAGACTATGAGGAAGGGGAAATCGTAGATAAAAACAAGGAAAAGACCTTAGAGGAGGAACCGGAACCCGAAATCGAGGCTGAGGCCGAAACAGAAGCGCCCAAGAAGAAGGAGGAGGGGGTTAAGGAGGCGAAGAAACCCAAAAAGAAGGACAAAGAAAAGTCAGCGACCGACAAAGATAAAGACAAGGACAAGAGTGGGAATAAAGAAAACATAGGGGTCAATAAAGAACAGGCGTTCAAGAAGTTGAGCAAGAATAATAAGGAACGCAATTACAGGAAAGACGACAAGGATAAAGAGAAGCGACAAACAAGTCCTAGAAGGTCCAGAAGCAGAGAGCCGAACAAAAAGGAGAAGCGGCGGGACAAGCGCAAGGAGATAGAAAGGTACAACGTGAGGGCGCTCATAGCAGAAAAGCCGCGACCTTTAATAGCGAAGGATCAGTTCGGTAGAGATATTCGAGACACTCCTCCGAGATCAAGAAGTCGGTCCTATACACCGCCCATCCAGAGATCGTTGTCTAGAGATAGGTCCGTTTCGAGAACACGACGATCGGTGTCGAGAAGGCGCAAATCTGTGTCGAAGGAGCGAGAAAAGTCACGCAAAAGGAGACCCAGGTCTCGAACTCAGAGGCACGCATCCAAATCGAGGTCTCGGTCACCTTTAAAAAAAAGAAGTGGATCGAAAAGCAAGAAAAGGAAACGCTCTTCGAGCCGATACAGAAAGAGAAAGACTGGTGACAGGAGCAGAGCCAAAAAGAGACAGAGGACTGGAAGCAGGCATAGGTCTAGAACGCCCAGCGCGATCAGACGACAACGAGATTGGGAGACGCTGGACTGGACACCAATGTCTCAGGGTATGGAACAGCCTCACAATATGTCGCCCTCTTGGACACCTCCTAGAGCGATGGATAATTCTCAAGTATTAAGGAACGAGCATTTGACGGTGACTTTGAACAACACGGGGAAAAAGAAAAAGGACAAGAGGCGCAAGAGCGACAAAAGAAGTAAGAACACTTTGGAAAGCAGACAGAAAAAGAGAAGGCACGATAGGGACAGAACGCCACCTCCTTCAAAAGAAGTGTTCGCTTCCGGTGATAATATTTTGGTGAGCGTGAGTTTCAATAACGAAAACGAAACGCGAGACATTACTACGAGGGATAAAAGGAGAAGCGATGAGGCTTCCAAGAAAAAAAGGGAGAAGAAGAAGAACAGGAGAGATCTCTCTGGCGTGAAACCCGTAGCGATCATAGATTTGGAGAGATCGCCGTTCAGGGAAATTACCCCTTCGCCTAAACAAGTTATAGTTCTTAGCGACAGCGATAACGAAGAGAACGAGACGATAAACGTTCAGCAGGGCATCTGCGATTCTTCACAGCAAGTCGCCAGCCCTGAGAGATCCGTCAATTACTCAATGGGCCCCAAAACGCCCCCTGAACCACAGGTTAAATTTACCTTGAGCGCAAAGGCTCCACAGGTACGTGCAATAATCAATCCTCTTCACGATCCTGATGAGATAGGAGCGAACGACCAGGTCGACGAAGAGTTAAGTTCTAGAATGAGTCCCGGAGGACACATAGGGCCTAATACGCCGCCCGAACCTCCCACGTCACCACCGAGTTCTCCGGACGCTTACGACCCATTCGAGCCCACGAAATCCAGGTCCCCCACTCCGGATCCTATGGACACTACAGTTTCCGACGGAGTTCCGCAAGAGCCTCGAGATAATATCGACAGTCGGACGGCTATCGAGTTGCTTGAGAAATCAATTAACCCCATGCCCGAAGTTACGTCAAAATCTCTAACTCCGCCCTTAGCAGACATTCAGCCGGCCGATTCTCAGAGCAGCATTCAGGCTACACCCGATTCCAATGTGGACAAGTCTCCGGAAAGGGCAACCGTTCAAACTACTTTGCAAACTTCTGTCACTGCCGCCAAGCCTGTCGCGCAGACGACGCCTTTCTCCTCGGTCCCCACTCCGATAATCACCTCCACTCCAATTTCTTCAAACTTGGCGCCTACTAGGATAAATATCTTGAACAGCACGATAATACCTTCGACCGTGGCGTCGTCCATCCCTCAGAGGATAGTGCTGCCTAACCAGGTAAAGCCTAACCCCGTGAAAATATCACCCACGAAGGCAGCCATCAAATCCACCCCGATAAAACCGATGCTCAGCAAAACAAAGTTCACGACGAGAAAGAAGATTCAGAATATCTCCGACGAAGTGATTTTAGATATAGATTCTCCGTATTCGCCTGGATCTAGCGATTACGAGGATCTGTTTGAACCCCCTAGCGAAATCGTCACGAAACCAGTTATCAAAAACAAAAGCAAGACGCCGCAAAAACATCAGTCGACGTTCGACAGTTTGTTAGGGTCGCCCGTCTATAAAGTCAAGAGCAAGACTAGGCACGGCAAAAAGGGGACAACGCCGAGCAAAACTAAAACGGTGGGCGTTAAATTAGACGAAGATAACCTGAAAATTCTGGACGAATTGCCCAATTCAGCCGTGGAGATGCAGGTGAAGGAAAAGGTGAGTTTTTCTTTTTTCGAGTTTTTTTTTGTGAGACTGAAGTGGAGGTAGCGCTGATAGGACCGATGTAGGTATTCTAGGGGAATCGTTTTAGAAAAAATTATCAGCAGGAGAATGTCTATACATTATAGTAAAAAAAGAAGAGAAACGGGAAGTATTAAAATTGAGGTGGTCGTGGAATCAGCTTTGGCAAACTACTGATCCGTGGGATCCATAATCTGCCTCTCTCAATATTCAATCGAGCCTTATTCATAAAACTGTTTTCCATTCCAAATAATGTGCTTGATGTTCAATGTTGTCAACTGAACAATATTGTCTTGCTGTTGAGTACATATATAAAATCTCTGAATTAACTGGGACCAATTATTCATGAACTCATTTGATGTAGATATTCTTTTTAAATATCAGTTTTTAAATATTTTCGAGTCTCAGATTATGACAGGCTCATAAAGTTATAAACTAGTTATGGATTTTGACAACAAGTCTGAATGAAACAACTTGATTGGCGGAAATATGGAGTAGAGTGGAAACACTGACAGATTTCGTAATCTAATTCTGTCACATAACTAATTCACTTCTGACACAAGAAGACATGTGATCCCAGGAAGTGCTACTTATATCTTCAGTGTCGCCATGGAAAAAGCTAGTTACGTACTAGAATTGAAAAAAGAAGAATTCAGTCATACATGATGTAAGTTAGAGTGTGTAGATTATTGATTTGATTTATGTTTTTCTAGTTCCTCAAAAAGTTGAATAGACAGGAACGAGTGGTGGAGGAAGTTAAGTTGGTTTTGAAACCTCATTATAATAAGAAGAGGATATCCAAAGAGGAATACAAAGATATATTACGAAGAAGTGTACCTAAGGTAAATTTTCTAGTTTTGTTTTGTGTGTTTTTTACTTATAATGATTATAATGCAACTGGACAGATTTGGCTATCAAAGATTGAACAAAGTATTCAGATTGTGATGGTCTATTTCCTTGAGCAGCTGAGTTATACATCATTTTCAAGTAGTACTGTTTCATAGGAATACATAATTCAGTCGGTTAAAAAGTGAATTCTCGCATTAATAATTAATAGATTTTTTTTTATTGAACACCCAAAATCGTTTATACTTTTTAATGATCACATGCCTGTATAGCGTACCTAATTAAATTAGGCTTACCTCAGATTTTATAAATTTTTGCTGGAAAAGGAAATGACGTCATGTTTTGATCCGATCCAATAGGGTTTTATATGGTACTTGATGAAGCCCTTGTGTCCTAATCAGTTTTTTATTAGTAAATTATACTTGGTCTGTGAATTGAAATTGCTACTTCAGTTTTCTCTCCAGTAAAACGAATGAGCAAATGTTCTTTTCTTGTTAACCTAAAGATTGATATTCTTAATGTATATGCCGCTCTCATACACCAAACTTCTTTGTATACCGTCGATACTAAGGTAAAAATGTGTTCTTAAATGACTTCGATATATACATTCAAGGGTGAGAGAGAAAATTGAGCTGGGATATCACTGAAACCATCTTTAGGAGAAAAACTGTGTCTGTTGATGAAAACTACGAATTTGTAATTAGTGGAACAGTATTTTCATTTTATTTCAAGAAATACCGACCCTCGACAAAATAATGGGAGCTTTCAAAGAAGACCCAGAGTATGTGTCCAATCATCGGTAGAAACAATTGGGGAAAACTTCAAAGGAATCGAATTCTACATGAAAAAAACAAAACAAAAAATCTCTCCGAATCGAAAATGATAAAATTATTTGCTGAAGGATATATTATTGAAGGCAGATCACTAGTTTTGACGTCAGAATAAAATTTGCCGGCTGCTGTGACGCTTGGGACTGGTTGGAGAAAGTTATGCCGCTGGTGCCGCTGACCACCATACAGTAACCATGGTCCTTTTTTTGAAGAGGTTTTTGCTATTGGGAAGTGTCTGGGTAGCTCATCGGTGTCCAACCACTGTCCAACGTCTTCTGATGTCGTAGGGGATGCACTTTTCATCACACGTGACGATCCGATACAAACAAGGATCGTGTTGGTTACACAAAAGCGAAAAAAACAGACCTCGAAACGTGACAGTTCATGTGGATCGTTCAAATCGTAGGGCACCCACCTTTCGAGCTTCTTGACCTTTCCAATGCGTTTTAAACTATCAAAAACCGACTGAGCTGTTTGTGACGCGTCAGTCTCTAACAGGGTTCCCAAATCATCATCCATGATTACTGTAGGTCGACCACTTTGGGGCTCATCTTCGAGGCTGAAATCTCCTGAACGAAATTTTGCAAACCAACTTTGAACACCGCGTTTATTACCACTATCATTATGAGCAGTTGTTGGTTCACAGATGGATGAAAAACACCTTCCGGTTCTGGTGCAGGTGTTTTCAGTCGCAGGCCCAGGACAGAAATATCAACCTGCCTAGGAACCTATGAGACTCTATTTCAAGCGGAAATTCACGCTATTGAATAGGCTCATTCAACAATTTTTTTTATTTCATTATTTGAAAGTTTATGTTCAAATAGTACATTTACAAAAAATCTGAATTTTCACTCATTATCTTCCCCCTCAAATTAATAGTTGAATGTGGTCAAGCTTGACGTCACACCAGTCGAATCGGCGACAAGGGAGTGCTGCCGTGTGCTAAAGCCGTAGAGAGCAAGTTGTGTGTTGTTTACTGCAGTCAGCAAATGAAACAAAATCCGACGATGGCAGCGATTCATAATCTCCAACTACAGGCCCGGTTGCCACCGCTCTGGCACCTATCGCTAATGTAAAAATATATTGGAACTAATTATTTAGGTTATTCTTTCAATGATACTGCCTTGTAAGATTCTAATCATTTATTGTTATTTCATGATATAAAATGGTGGATGATAAACGTATAGTTACTTAGGTAAATATTCGTTTTGAGGGCACCCGGCGATTTTTAACAAAATTTTTGAGTGTACTTACGTATTTTGATGCGTAGATTACGAATCCGAAAGAAAAAAGCGGAGCGCTCTTCCTCATTTACAAAGTTACAGACCTTCAAAGTTCACAAAAGGGCAAATTTTCAGCCTTCTTTTTCACAATAAACTATTTAAGAACACAAACATTCATTCACTAGGTCACCTTTACGCCATATCCCTCCTTCCTTGACACTTTTCACTTCAACAATCAACATTTTTTCAATAAAAATGCTGAAAAATGTACGGAGCTGCTTTTTGGTTATATCTCTGTATTTTACGTTTTTAAGGTTAATGGCATAGTTGGTACGACCGATGCTGTCAATATTCCTAAGTAATTCAAATGTTTTTTATTGGTTTTTGGTGTTGTATAAAGATATTAATTTCGTTCAAATTCATTTTGTGTTTTTCTAATCACTCACGTCAAACTAAAAATCCAAATCTACGAATTTGAAATAGTAGGCGGCGGCAAATACCAACCGCTTTTTCCTGAAATGTCACTAGTAACTAACCTAGAAAGAGAAGAATGTCGCCAGAAGAAGCATTCGTTTTTAAATTAAGTTTTTTATTAGAAAAATGTTGATCGTGAATTGCAAAGTGTCAATTGAGAAAGAATAAATGCAGAAAAGTTACCCTTTTCTGAACTTTAAAGGGCCGCAATTTTGTGAATAAGGGAGAGCGCCGCTTTTTTCAAAATCGCCAGGTGCCTTCAAAACGAATATTTACCCGTTACTCGTTCAGATTCCCTAAAAAAAAATTGTTGTTTTGGGTGGCGAGAAAAAATGAATCGTCTTGTTAGTCGAAGTTTGTCAACCGATTGTTGCTTATTTTTCAGATCTGTCACAATAAATCTGGGGAAATCAACCCTACCAAGATCAAGAACCTCATTGAAGCTTACATTAGGAAGTTGAGACATAGTAAAAAAGTAACCTCCTCTAGTTCTGTGAACCCTCTTAAGGTATGAAAGGCTTATTTATAATGATTATGTACATATTTAATTTATGAAGTTGATAATATTATTTGAAATAAATAAATAAGTTCTAGAGAATTATTTATATCTCACTTTTGTGATTGAAAATGAATGTTTTAATGTATGATTTTTTAGTAAATATATGGTGTATATTTGAAAGTCTCTTTATACTTTAAATTACAAATAAAACACTTATGTAGTATATATCCTGTTTTATTGAATCTTCTAAACAACAAATAGGTTTTCAAACGGCAGTTGCTAGACCTACTCTTTCATTTCCAAAATCGAATTCTGTGTAATATTTTTTTAAGAAAACGTCTCCCAAAATCCACGAAGGTCCATTCGGAGGTACGTCGTCCATTGCGATGAAACCAGAGCTACATTGTACTATGTATTTTGAAGTGCTCTAAAACAAGAGTGAAATCAAAAAACAGAAGTCATACAATAAGGTAAATGTTCAGATTTCGCGGGTGCTATCGAAAAAAAGATCAAAGGATTTGGAGCTAACCTATCACATTTTTTCCTCGCTCTTGTACATAAACGAAATCAATTATGAGTCTCGAGGCTTTCAATCATTTTGTAGTTATCTCTATTAAATCGATTGAATAAATCATCTGCTAACAAGGACTTCATCTATTTTTACGATGAAATTAAGACAATTCGGAACTCTTGAAAACATTGATTATTGCCGGTTAGAACGTTAAGTTTTTCATCAGTGAAGTTAAGTGAGCAATCTCTAATCAACTCGCAATTCAACTTTATTTTTGTGAAAGAGTTGAAATACACGTATCCGTTATCCTTTAGATTAACCTAGAAACTAACGCCACCTGGTGATAAATGGTCCTGTCGATACTAACCTGCAACATATATTCCGATGGACTGAATGTGAAGTTTTTTCCTCCCAAGACGAAACTAATATCAGGTAAAGATGGAATCTTGTCACAATCCAGCAGGTATTCATCAATGAATAAACCTGCCCCAATCACCTGAAAATGGAAACGGGTTAGAAAAAAAGCAGACTAGGTCGATATCTGTTAATTATAGTTCATAACTGTTCATTTATAAAATTTTATTATGGACTTGGAAAAATGTTTACTATCGAATTGTTTCAATCAAATTTCGCTAATCTCTTTGAAAATCACAATGTAGTGAAATCAATGTCATAGAACAGAGGAAAGAACTCATGTTTGGTTGTAGTGTCATAGTGAATATTACAATAAATTACATTGGTATAAGTTTCAATAACTCTCATGATTACTCGTTCAATTTTTTGCTATTATATACTTCAGGTCAGAGATAAGATCGTCGTTTTCTTCACATAAGCTTCTGCCAGAATGAATTGGTGATGGGTAAGAATTAGGGGATTCCCCGAACATAAATATCATAAAATGACAAGTTTCACAGAACGCTGCGACGTATCAAAGTTGTAGCGCGGAAAGAGAGAAATTCGGATTTATTGATTGTGAAGTTTGAGCCAAACTTGTTTCAAAATTGCGAATGGAAACTTTTTTATATCAGGGTAACTTCGCGAGTCGAGGCCCCTCGTGAGCCACGTCTGAACGGTTGCACTGCTCGCCACTTCCCAAAGTCTTACCTCCTGGAGTTTCTCAATCTCCGCTCTTGGTCCGGCAATAAATCTGGAAGCGGTATCGAACACGGCTTGACAACCGCCATTGCATAACTTTTCAGAAGCAATGTTCACCCCGTCCATTTTGATTTGCCAGTACTCTTTACCGGTCACAGGGAAATAGGTGAAGTCTCCTTCGTAGTATTGAGGATCTGAACCCCCAAGTATAAGTTCTCCGCCGATTTTATCAAAACGATTCCTGAAAAAACATAAAAACATTTATACAGGGTGCAACTAAATAAGTGTAAAACATTCAAGGAGGTGATTCCTCATCAAAAAAAAGATATTTTATATAAAGAAACTTCATTGGAGCATCCCTTGTTAAGATACAGCCCCTTAAAGGAGGTACATAAAATTTGTATAACAATTGTTTTCACAAGCACTAAAAAAGTTACAATATTGAAATTAACCTGACGTTTTGTAATACCAAAAAGACACTTAGTCAGAAATATATTTGGTTTACCCCATGGTTGTAAGGGGTGGAAAACGCAACCCCTAAAATTTATTTCCAATGTAACTTTTTGTCTTATTATTTGTTCACCAATTAAAAATTTATTTCCGATAGCATGTTTCATTCCAAACAAAAAATGTCTCTTGGGTTTTTTGCCCAAAATAAACCAGTTCGCAGCAAAAAATTATTTTAGGAACAACTACAGAGATACATCGTCATAAATGCGAAAATACGAAACTAATCTATCTAGTAGGTCGCTATTAGCGATAGTGACAATTAAATTGGTATGACGCTGTCACTTTGTGAATTTTCGAAAATGAATTAATACTAATTGTGTGTTGTTGTTCTGTTCTTAATTTGTTACTTTAATAATTCACTTGTTATTAAAATGGCATACACAAATGAGGAAATGGCTGATATGCATTACATTTACGGTCTGTCGCAGGGGAATGAGTTAGAAGCTTCTAGAAGATATGCTGAAATGTATCCTCAACGGCAGCATCCTTTACATAGAATATTTGCTCGACTTCATCAACGATTACGAGAATATGGTTCATTCGACGAAAGAACGCAGGATTGTGGTCGCCATCGAGAAGTACGAACACCACAGCGAACAACTCTTATACCTTTACTATCTGCAACGAGTACAGGCACTGTTACCGCGAGACTTTCCGAACCGTCTTGAATTTTGCAATTGGATGCTGGAAATGATTAGAAGAAATTGTGAATTTCTGAAGACGATAGAATTCACAGACGAATGTAGTTTTTCTCGGGACAAGATTATTAATTTTCATAATTACCACATGTGGGCTGATGAAAACCCTCACGCTATTGTCGAAACTACCCATCAAGAACAGTTTTCTCTTAACGTGTGGCTAGGAGTTGTTGGGAATGATTTAATTGGGCCTCATTTTCTACCTCCTCGATTAAATGGTGAGGCATACGTTCAATTTTTAAGAGAAGTGTATCCAATACTGCTGGAGGAAGTTCCTTTGGGCGTCAGAAGAGATATGTTTTTTATGCATGATGGGGCACCCGCCCATTTAAGTCAAGTAGCACGTCAGCATTTAAATGAAACATATGCATATCAGTGGATAAGTCGAGGAGGACCACAAAAGTGGCCTGCTCAATCCCCGGATCTCAATCCTCTCGATTTCTCTATTTAAGGTCATTTACAGCATTTGGTTTATCGTTCGAGATGTAGAGGACTCAAGAAACCGCATCATCGATGCGTGCAGGGTAATCAGAGAGACTCCAGGAATATTTGAGCGAATACGTGGCTCAATGCGCCGACGTCTAGATGCATGCGTAATGTCTGAAGGTAGACATATTGAACATTTACTATGATTTCTACATGTTGTGTGTTTTGTTATTAATACATTAGTTTCGTTTATTAACCTTCAATCGTTCAATGCAGGTACTAACTACAAAATAACAATAAATCCAGTTCGCATTTATGACGATGTATCTCTGTAGTTGTTCGTAAAATAATTTTTCGCTGCGAACTGGTTTATTTTGGACAAAAACCCAAGAGACATTCTTTGTTTAGAATTAAACAAGCTATCGGAAATAAAATTTTAAATGGTAAACAAATAATAAGACAAAAAGTTACATTGGAAATAAATTTTAGGGGTTGCGTTTTCCACCCCTTACAAACATGGGGTAAACCAAATAAATTACTAGCTAAGTGTCTCTTGGTAGTACAAAACGTCAGGTTAATTTCAATATTGTAACTTTTTCAGTGCTTGTGAAAAAAATTGTTATACAAATTTTGTGTTGGATGCTCCAATGAAGTTTCTTTATATGAAAAATCCTATCTTTTTTTCGATGAGGAATCACATCCTTAAATGTTTTACACTTATTCAGTTACACCCTGTATTATGGATCATGACTCCGTGATTCTGATGTTAGGCATTTTTCAAATATTTTGATGAGGTTTCCTCTTGCGAGTTGTGACAAGAAGGTGAGTTGTCTAATGTTGATCAGTCTGAGTCATCCAGACTCATCGAATTGAGCTGAGATCTGTTTAAAATCTGTTTTTCCGTTAACAGCTATCGCACTCCTACGAACGACAACTCTCACGGACGGACGTGCCGATAACGTCCATCCACAAAGAAGGTACGCGGATGCCACGTGCTATCGCGGGACTTCTATTTATGTTGTGATTGTCTATTGTGCAAGGATGTTTAAAGTTTATGTGAAAGTTCAGACAAAAATGTGAAATGAGGGTGCCCTTCATTCACGCCGGTATCCAGGCCGGGTAGTTCGGATAACCACGCAAAAGGGGGCCATGTATGTGAATTTGAAAACCCGAAGGTCTCCCGAAGAGGAGGCGACTCAAAAAATATATGTGAAAAAATCAAAAGGTCTTTCGAGCAGAAGGCGACGATAAAAAAGTTGAATTGTTGTCATCGTAAAAAAGTTCGACAAAAAAGGGGTGGCAGCATTGCTTCGAGTAAGAACGCTGCCCCCCTCGACGAAGCTTATCTTTGATAGGAGGAGCCTGGACAAATGCGCCCGAGTGGGAAGCAACGTACAACAAAATTAGAGAGAGAGAGAGAATGTCATGTGTTTTTATAGCTCCAAAGCTCAATAAATATTTATTTTACTGTGTCGTGTTCTATACTGATCGAGGGAGAATTTTGTACTCTATACATTGATGATGTTCATTTTCTTGCAAATTTTAATGTTTTGCCTCTTTTCAGCTCCTTACTATATGATGTTGAGCGTGTGGAAACTAGTTATATAAAATTGAAAAAGTATCAGTGAATAGTGCTCTCACCTCAAATAGAATGAAAATACAGGTTTTGATAATAATTTTTGGTCCATAAGGTTGTAGACGAACGGGCGTTCTTTGTTGGCAGATATTGTATCACGTCCCATTCCCAAAACACCATCGAAGTTACCTATTAAAAATTCTATACCTGTTTGCTGAATGGCTTCAACAAAACTTTGACCTTTAACAGCTACACCTGCAACCTATATAAAGATTATAAGTTCATTATAAATTTTCGATGATTAATAACGGAAGAAGTTCAAATCGTAAAAGGTTTCGAAAATAAGATTTTGTTTTTTCTCGACCTCGAAAACATCGTCCATGAAAAAGTTCTTACATAATATGAACTGATGAAGATTAATCGGATTTATCAATATACCACTCTTGAAAGAGTGTTCACACAGACACGTTAAAATGGTTTAATATTGAATTTTGTTTGTTTCGAATTTCATAAATGTGACCAACAACTCATATCATATCCTTAATCTAGCCTATATTTCTCGATCTTATTAGATTCATGAACAAATCAAGACAAATGGTGAGTTATGCCATCTAATTTATGGATACTTTTCGATATCAGTAGACTTTCAATGTTCAATTTAGCCATAATACTGGCTTTAAGCATTATCAGTTTGAGCAAATTATGAAAATAGTATTTTCATCTTATTTTTTGGGAAATGGACCTTTAAACAACTCATGATAACGACGTTTTCCATATTTATAATAAAGGAATAAAAATGTCAACTCACCTCAACTGTATCAGTTGATAAAATTCCACTGAGATTGCTGTAACTTTGGAAAGCAAGATCGATTTTTTGACCATTGGGTTTATAGGTAGAAGATTTTTTCGAATCGTATCTGTTGCGTATAGCTGAAAGTAAAATAAGTGATCTATAAATGTCTGTCGGTAGAATTGAGCTAGTGTGTAAAAAGGGAACATTACACAAGGCAATTCTTCGCAAGAAAACGCAGGTCTACATTTTTTTGTCTATAGACTTGTTACGTCCAACTCAATCAAAGAAATATACTGTCTAGCGGTTCTCGAAACACCTTGAAGATTGTAGCGAGGAATATCCAGTTGGAAGAAGTCAAATAAATAAAACTGGAAATCAAGTTCAAAACAAATGTAGAATGATTTTAGTTGTATTGTTGTCGCTATCTGTTACCTTATGACAGGTGACAGATGCGACAACAGCATTCGTGTACTTCAGTCACAGTGTCACAGACAGTAATATAGTTGGTCCATAGAGAGAGTCTCTCTCCAATTGATCGGTAATATTGTAAATAGTATATCAGTAAGTCTCATTTTAAATTTTAATTAAAAAAATTGTAACTGTAACGATAAATATAGAATAACTCACCACATGGAGCGTGATCCTTATCGCATTTTTCAGAAGGGACCCATGAAATTGAGGAGCCAGTATCAAAAATAACATTGAAGTTTTGTCCAGGTGTTCCTATGGTTATTGGTCCATAATATACAGCCTGAAAAAATTGTTGTTATGGGAAATTGTTCGTGCTTACATATGTTATCAGTTCTGCAGAAAATATTTGTCTGTAATTATACAATATGGTGAATGATTTGAAAATAATTTCTACTGAATGAAGTTTTTTGTCACGAAAATCAATCTGGTGATTTTATCAGCCATATTTGTAACATTACTCGTACAATCATTCATGTCGAAATATAGCGAAATAAAGACACAAATTTGCAGAGGCAGTACTGCAAATATAGGTATGAAGGACATTTAAAGCACGCCTAAAAGAACATAGAAACAGTTTCCAGAATTGGAGAATAAATTCGACGTATGCTGATCACCTCTCTAAAGGGGAACATGGATTCAATCATTCCAGAAGAAAAATTTGAAACTTGACCTGGAAAGTTTGGAAATTAATAAAATAAAAATTCCAATTTCTAATGAGTGATGAAGGATTATTTTTCTCACATACTATTTACTATTGAATGAGTATTGTTTTTTTGTTTACCAAAATTTACCTGTTTTCACTATTTGATGAGTGAATCAATTGCAACCCCTCCTTTCAAGTAGTTGAAACTAGATTAGTATTTATTATCATCTCATATTATCTTTTTCAATGAAAATCAAAATGAACCTCATCATTGAGTAATGATAGGATAAATTGAACTCTCTAGTTTCTGAATAAAGACCTCAGGAGCTCCTGTTGCCTTTTGATTAAAAAAATCTAGTACACCTAGTAAAACCTAGTTACCAATACCTGCTTTGAGAAATTATAAACATTATAAATACTCACGTCCAAATAATTCGTCAGCACTACTTGACCGGAAATGTCGGAGCCATTATATTTTCTGAGTAAATTTTTCTTCACAGCTTCATATCCGGTTTCTCTAAGGATCGATCTTGCTGGGTTGATTTTTGTCAGAGGAACTCTTGAAAATACGAAGAATAATACTCATACTTATGATAAGATAGGAAGTCTGATGACGATTATCATAATAAAATATTTGGTCAGAGTTTGTCCCTGGTGGACTCTCAGTATCTTATAATAATAATGATGATAAACCATGAAAGAGGAGGAATTGGAGCAATTCTCTTCAGGGCAGCTCTCCGTGTAGCTGGTGAATTCGATGATCACACTGAACGAGGTGATCACAACTCTGTCACCCATTCAGCTAAAGGCCCATGTAAAAGCCTGCACACAAGGTGCAGGGCCTACCACGAGGAGCCTGAGATCCTAATGGATTTGCTCTCAACATGTTCAGTATATATGGTCTTAGCCTAAACTTTTTCTTCCTTATAATAGCTTCTACAGCTGCCGGACTCAGTCATGACCGGTGAGAAGCTCCTCCCTAAAGATGTGCAGTAGATGTGTAGAAATCTGTTATCAGTCTGTTAGATTATTCGAGCCGTAAACATCCAAATTCAAGACCGTATTCAGTCATTGATAGCGTTCAGAAGTAAATTTCATAAACAAATGCAATTTCAGGACCCAAACTTTACGCAGATACGATTTCTCCCACCGGTCATGACTCAGTCCGGTAGCCGTACAATACTCCTCGAGGATTAATGCTGTATTGCTTAAAATCGCTTCGTAAATAAGCCCTTATTTCTCGAGGATGAAAAGTGGTTATTGTGGGTTATTTCTAAGAGATTGACATATACCATCACGGATTATTTGTAGACATTTCTAAGATGTACAATACTGTAGTACATTGCAATATACACGCAAAAAATGGATTTGTTTACATCATATTAGAAACCTGTAAAATTATCATTGTTTCTCTTTTATATTATGCATGTTATATACATATAAATTTCCCTCTTGAATCATTCTATCTTTTTGAAAAACCCGCATCAAAATCCGTTGCCCGGTTTCAAAGATCTTAGTATACATGGGGACAGACAGCAGAAAGCAACTTTGTTTTATACTACCTATGTATATATTATTTTCTTCTTTTCAGAGCTAGTGAATGAAAGTTTGCACTTTAAAGTATTTTTGATATCAATTTATTTGTCCTATTCAGTCAGTTCATTTCATTCAGTGAGGACCTAATTGTCAAATGGTCGGTTCCACCACAAAACTTCCTAACCTGAGCCGAGTTGTAACTTTTTGGGCTTGACCTAGAGATAGCGATAGGTATTTGGAAAATATCAAATATTGGAAAGTACACAATCAATAAAGCGTATGTTTCACGTTTGAAGACGCTGCGTTGTTCAATATTTGTTTGGCAGCCATCAATAGAGAATATTTTCGGTAAATTTGTGAAACTGGAGAAAATTGGTCATCGTTATATGTTACAATACTTTTATTTGAAATGTGTCAGCCCAACCAATATAAAAGCCGAACAGGATTTTACTCAGGGTGAGTCTGCTCCTTCGTTTACTTTGTCTGGCCGTTACTCGATGAAGATCCATAACACAATATTCATATACCCTATTTTGAATTCAGTTTTTTTAAAGTCGGAAAAAGAATTATAAAAAAATAACTCCAGTAAATGTTGTCTTACCTGATGAAATCGGCGTTGATGACCGCTATCAAGCAGATGGCACTTACTAATAGGCGCATTTTTCCAGTAAGATCGGGGCAATCTCAACCAGAATATGATGTAATTTTGATTTCGCACCTTTTTATACGTTCAAAAGTTGCACTACTTGATCTTTGTAATAATCCATTAAATGATAAGTAACTTCGATAATATATTTTTTGATTTATCAAATATTGGTACTCTTCCACAAGTATCGATATGTAAATCTACCTTTGATTTGTAATTTCACTGAACTACATAGGCAATATTTCAAATCAAAGAACATCAGTTTGAATTGAATTTTTAGGAGAGGTTAATTTTCTGAGAAAGAAAGGTTTAGGTTTTGATTTTCTAGTAACCTTCACACACAAACTAGAAGAAAAAACCTTTTCGAAACAGCTACTTCCATATAAACATTGAATTACACGAAAGAAAAATTCTTTCGAAACATATACTTTTATATGAACACTGAATTATATAAAAAACGTGTTTTTCTATTCAGTTTGTGTACGAAACATTCGTTATGGACATGAATCAGATATCATTCACAGGATTACTACACAATATAGTAAATGAAAGAGGTATAATCTAGGCTTCAATATCGCCTAATCAAATGAAAATTCTTCATTATGTTTTATGGAATTCTAGTTGTTTTATGGAAATCTAATGAATGAAACGGCGCATTGCAAATTGGTTTATATCAGATTATAACAAATATGAAACAGTTTGTTTAAAAAATTACAATTAAGTAAAAATTAAGCACAAAATTGAAAATTGAACAATCAAAATGCAAATCTGCTTCTGGTTAGCGTTCCTTTTGAATTTCAGTTGTCAGTGGGTGACACTTGAAATCTGAGAAATCATAAGTGGTTGGTGTTTCCGTTTCCTTTAAGTTTATAAAAGTTGTATTTTAGTTTTTGGCCTTTTTGGCCATGTGTGTGTTGATAAAATGACTGAGTATTAGAAATTATTTTATTTTCTAACTAAGGAAACCCATAAACAAGCGGAAAACGGTCGTTTCCCGTCAGAGGGCCAACTCCCGCTAAACCGGTGAAGCAGAGAGAGGGGGTAGGTGAAAGCACTCGAATGACCTATAATTAGTCATCTCTCCGAGGAATAAATCCAGTCATCATCCGAAGACGATTGTCGATACTAACAATCGAAACGTCGTTAAGTAATACGATTTGATATCTCTTATTTTTTTATTTTATTTCAATTGTTAATTTTTTTCCTTAATTTCATTTCATTGTAATTTCTTTTCAGGGTTTTTTTGCTTGATACAATTGTTATTTTCAGCTATTCTTCTTAATTTTCACCTTCATTTGTTATTTCAGAGATTTTAAAACATATCAATTAGACAATGGAAGTCCGAGCTAATGAAATTCAAATATGTAACAGTATTGATAGTCCCTAAGCTTTTTTGATATAATTCGAAATGGAGGTGGTAGTAACGAACTTTGATAATTCTACATTTTGGCGAATATTTCAAAAACAACCACTTATATTCCCGATCGGGGAAGAGATTATTCTATTTGATTTGAAAGGGTTATATTTTTAGGAGTGATTAATTTTTTGGGAAAGAAAGACATCCATTTTTTTGTATCAGATGGAGTAGTAGAAAGCCAAAAACTTTCTTTCCCAAAAAAGATTATTCTAGTTTCACAAAAAAACTTTTGTCCAATTCAACGGATCTTGTATATCCTATCGTTTCCAAGATAGCAACAGTGGGATCTTGGTCCTGGCGGGATCATCTCGATGATGATCACTTGTTGATCGAAACACGTGTCGAGGTGTTGAAATAACGTTTTGGTGTTTGCATAAAACTCCAGTTGTAATGATTTTAAGCACACATTTACTTCATAATAGAATTTTGCTATTATTTAAATTAATTTCTAGAGAATCATACATCTTCGGGAACGAAAATGTATGATCTTTAGTAAATATACGGTACATATTTGATATTCTCTTCATACTCTCGATTACAAATGAAACACTCATGAATTATATCTCCAATTTAATAAATATTATAAACAACAAATAGATTTTCAAACGGCAGTTGCTAAGCCTACTCTGTTATTTCCCAAATCGAATTCCGTGTAGTATTTACCGATGAAAACGTCTCCCAAAATCCACAGAGGACCAACTGGAGGGTCAATGTCCATTGCCATGAAACCAGAGATGCATTCCGTTAAAAATCCTGAAGAAACCTATAGCAAGTAGAGAGATATTTTGAACCATAAAATATAAAAAAAACTGGACCCATTAATAAACTTTGCAATTTTGTGACAGTTTTCAAAATGTCATAATGAATTGTCATTTCACCAAATCAATTCTGATGATATTTTCACCAAACTGAAATTTTTGTTGGTAATATCACAGAGTTTTTTCAATTTGAAAATAGCCGCATCAACCTTATGGTTATCAGCGACTGAAAATATATTCACAGGCAGTTACTAGATCAATTACAACATTACATTTTGTTGCACTTGAGTAATTCATAATCTTGCTGGCATTAAGATACCTCAAGGTTTTCCGCGTTTCCTTGAAAAAATGCAAATTTCATTGTGATATTTCGTAAATTCCACTCATCTTTGCCTTAGAACAAATTTAAAAAAAAATTAAAGCTTATGTTTTTTCAGTGCCTACAATTACCAGCAAATGTTCACATTATACTAGTTGTAGCATTGTTACACGTTTATTTCGTTGTTCCATTGCAAATAATCCTGTTACGCGTTACACTCGTTATCGTGTCTTAGTACTTTTAGTACTTAGTACAAAATCTAGTAAGATTGGAACTGTAAAATATTTTCAGTAGGCCTTTCGAAGTTTTAGCTATCCCAAATTGCCATCTTTTAATATGCGTGGCATATATGTTATTTTCGACATGCAATTATTCTCACATGGTCTCATTTTTACAAAACAAAACTAATTGCTTTGACATTTTCGTGTCAATTGACACTTTGTCTCTGGTTTCTACCTCTTGTCACTCAATTATTTGTTGATATTATCAAATTGTGTCTTAAAATTAAATAAAACTGTAAGATCCGTAACAAAAAGATGAATATTAACTGAACATGTAAGTTATTACGGATTCGCTTTTTTCGTACTTTTTATTCGATCTAGTACTTTTTTGTTCACTTTCTAGTACTTATTCCCAAAGGATTGCGGCAACGCTGCTTTGTTATGTGTTATTCCCGTAAACTCTTCAGTTTAGATTTTATTGAAATTGTAGAAGGTATACATTTTGGTGTACTTCTAACGATGCTACTCGGTTAGCAACATTCGCGTCGAGAGGCAGTTTTTTTGTTCTGGTGTGTTTTCAATAGATTACGAGCGTTCAGAGTCGTGATCAGCGTGAAAAAATACATAGATAACAACAAAATTAGCCTTGTGGCAATGGTCCACTTGATACTAACCTTCATAACATAGTCTGATCCTTTCAACGTGAAAGTTTTTCCTCCTAAGACTATATTTATATCAGGTAAAGATGATATCCTTCTGCAATCTATTGTGTATTCACCTCCAATAATTGGTTTTGCTCCAATAGCCTGAAAGTAAAAATGGATTAGATATGTTATTGATTAGGTTTAAGTGAATTTCTGAATTTATTTGTTTTGTGCACCAACTGAAATTTCACTAGTCATTTCAAATTGTCATCTGGAACGTGTCATCGTCTCCAATTTTGAATAATCAAAATAAAACTTGCAGTATTGAGCATGCGCACTATTTTTCCTTTAAGTTGGTACGAATTAACACCACCTGTTAAACCATGGCTTTATTGAGAATCTGACGACAGTTGCAATTGGGCTCCCGTATATACATCAATATATCAACACCTCATTTGTTATTATGATGTTTTTTCTCGGATATTGTAACAGTTAAACAAGAGCTTACAGAATCCAAGATGATTTTTTTATATCTCCGATATTTAGCTCGAAAATTTCTAATTTGAAATCGAAATACTGTCAGTTATGAATGTTAAGAGTTTATGCCAGAGTCTTACGAAAGCGTAGAGGGTTCGTACTGATTAGTATTTTGTTACTTCCGAGTATAATTTACGATGTTTCGAAAATCTCGACTCAAACACGGAATAATGTGAATTGCGAATAAGTTCAGATTATGTGAAGATGTTAGGTTGGTTCATGTAAATTCTGATATTGAAGTCTGAACTTCTGAATTGGCTTATAGAAAGTGAGGTTAAGATTATTTTTTCCCTTGAAATTATGGGAGCCAAGTTAGAACTGTCGCGAGACGTTTGTGATAGCATTTCGGTAAACAGTTAAATTCACGCTTCATACCGCTACATGGATGAGACGGCGTTCATTGAATGATTCAAGAGATATTTGGCCAATGATTTCAGTCAGTATTACCAGAATTACGGCCAATATTTGGTATGAGCCTAAGGCAAAATCACCCGATAAAAATAAAATTTCTGCTTGTTATTTTTTTTTAAAGTTATGAGTATTCTCCGAAGGACCGATTCGTATCTGTTAACTGACATGCCTACCTTTTGGATTTTCTCAATTTCCGCTGATGGTCCGATAATCAAACTGGTACCGGTATCGACAATGGCTTGACAACCACCATTACATAACCTCTCAGAAGCCACGTTCACTCCGTCCATTTTGATTTGCCAGTACCCTTGTCGCGTGACAGGTATGTACGTGAAGCTTCCTTTGTAGTATTTAGGATCTGAACCCCCAAGAATGAGCTCTCCGCCGACTTTGGCATTGGGATCTCTAAAATATACCACAAACATTCATTTTTGTTAATAATTTTCAGCTGATTGAATTTTTTAATTTTCATTACCAATTTCCTCAAACACCTATCTATAATTTTCATTACATCACAAGGTCTTTTTTCTGATTGATTCGGTCGTTACTTGTAGTAATTTGAAAAAACAACACCTCACGATTTGATCTTAAATCACAAGGTAAATAAATACTTTATCAACTCTCATGCTCATATAACTACAAAATGGATACGATTTCATAAATGTCTTCTCCAAAATATTTTCGCTAGCGCTCAAGACATTCCCTATTGTTTTCTCAAGTTTTCTTCAATTTCCTGAAGTATTTGTCGTCAGTGATATTAGAATGGGAAGTACTTCTTCTATAATGTGTTTCTGCAATGTCTTCTAGCTTATTCCCACTCTCATATATGCAGATGTTGATAAAACAAATCGTCCAGTAATATTCTTATTGGAGAAAAACTCTTAAAATTTTAGTCAAATCCACGTACTGAACAGTTTCTTTTGATTCTTTATTGGCAAAATGCATGTTAGTACATGTTAGTCCTAAGGTAGCTAAAAGTAGCCAATTCTGATAATAAAAAAGGACACACACTTCTGGATCTGGTCCGTTTTGGGTCGCTAAGATGGTGTTTTCTTCTTCTTTACAAGAAAAATAAGAATTATTGCATTTTAAAACAATTTATCATTTTAATCGAAAGTTTCGTAAAACAGCATTTTGAATAGAAAATCGCTGAATGTTTTTCAGAAGTTTAAACCTTTACTTCTTCTGATCTACCTCTTGATTATTGGTATTTTTCCTTAAATAACGGCATCTATACTCATAAATGCCAAAGTCACTCACTCATTCATCTCCGTTTCTCTGTACTCCGTACCCGTTTTTTAATGCAAGACAAACAACATCCTAGAAAGTGTTATTACTATAAAGTGACATATATGAATATATGAACCATCCAGGTTCAACTTGTTTGTTTTTGTATTGTTGAAATCTAAGGACAGAACCGACATAAAAGTGACAGGAAATTGAAGTTATTTTAAGATGATAACAGTGTTTGTTGACTGCGGTCTGCTGCAGGATTTTATGCAAAGTTTCGTCTACTTCTGCAGAAACTACAATTCTGGAAGTATCTCCAGTTTTATAATATCACAGATAACCTTTACTTCTATACGGTGCTGGATAGGGGACACCTTGGGATAACCTGCTGTCTCTCTCTTCAATTTCTATGGCTGTTGCTTCTTGCGCATTTGTCCAGGCTCCTCCTGTTCATAGTGAGCAGAAGATTCGTCCGAGGGCGAATCCGTCTTACTCAAGGCAATGCTACCACCCTAAAATTTTTAATTCCCTTCTTTCAACAGAAACACATAATTTTTTCAATGCTCCTTCTGCCTTCTGATGATAATAACATAAATACACATGCCCATATATTTTATAGAACTGACGATCTCGTCGTCAAATGGAAAGTGATTTGAATTTAACAATAAATACATAGTTTTCTTACCTGTTCAAGTAGAATGAGAAGACAGGTTGTGCTACCAATTTTTGGTCCACAAGGTTGTAGAAGAAAGGGCGCACTTTCTTGACAGATATTGTATCGTATCCCATTCCCAAAATTCCATCGAATTTACCAGCTAAGAAGGCTGGACCTGGTTCGTTGGTGGCTTCAGCAAAAGTTTGACCTTCAACTGAGAGACCTGCAACCTATAAGTGAAAATTCTCAGCTTATTATCAATTGAGAAAATGTACACATTCTCTAATAACGCGCGTCGGGAATATTGGAAATACCGACATTTATTTTTATGAAATATCCATAATATTAGTTGGCAGCACTGCCGTGCATTTGTGTTTTTGTAATACTGTAATGTACTAACTGGTACTTCCTTTCTCAAGTAATTTACCCTGATTTCAACCGAATTTACAGTTTAGGAAAAGTGTTCAAATGGGATGAATATTGATTGAGATTTATTTCTGGGCCTTGAAAGTTGAAACAACTCTACTTAGCCCGTTTTTCATAGCGATAAGAAATGAATAAAAATGTTCACTCACCTCAACAGTGTCAGAGGCTAAAAATCCTCTGAGAGCGTCAGATCCGTAAGATATATTGAATTGTCGGTTATCTTCCTTGTAGGTTGAAGATTTTTTTGAATCGTACCTGTTATGGAATCCTGAAATAAAGTAGGCGATCTTAAAACATGTTTTGAAGTGGGATAATGACGGTTTTATCAAGTGTTGAACTTCTGTAAAGTTCATGTGTACCTTTGTTCACTTGAGAATCAAACATCTGAATAGTGACTGGAATGAAAAAAATAGCTAAATGGAATAGCTTCGAAGTTTTACAATAAAGAGAGAGTTACATAAGCAGAAGTTCATTTCTTGGTAGGTATGGAACCGAAAAAGCCCCGCACATTTCGGTCTTGGTAGCTTCAAGTTACACGCTAGGATCAAGTAAGAGTCTCTTGATTGGCGGGAGCAATTAAAACCTGAATCCATGCGAGGGCCTGGCTGGTAAGCACTTCAGGTAAGCACTTAGAGCGGTGATTGTGCGAAAGTAGCGATTCCCGTTAGATTTGAATCGCTGGAGAGAAGTTCGATGTATATTGAGCTGAACCTCAAAACGATGAACAGCCACAGTCCATCGCGTATTTCTGATACGTAAAGCTTTCGGTGAAATCTAATGTGTCAAGTCACTTAAACACCTCCCGTTGAAGAGAGAGGGAGACAAATCTTTTTTCCGATGTTCCAGCTTCTTTGAGTAGTTGGTTTTATTTGATCGGATTTGAGTATATATGAACCACAATGAACCTTCGTGGGTTGCAGTGGAGTGTCGAATAAACTCATTTCCTCTGAACCTACCCACCTACTGTAGGCTTGTTATGTTCCCCTCAATCAAAAAGTTATTAGATTATATTCAGGATCACGATTGAAAATTCTGAAAAAGTTGTTTGAAAAACTAGAATTCTAAAGAGTTATTTTGCAGGTTTTCAACTTTTCAAAAATACTATCAATCATAGTTCGTTGTTACTCCATAAGAACCAGAATACATTAATGGGTAGGAAATTGATGAATATAATAATAATAATAATAAAGTATAACTCACTACAAGCAAACTCGAATAGACCGCACTTTTCAGAAGGGACCCATAAATTTGAGGACCCAGTATCAAAAATAACATTGAACTTCTGTCCAGGTGTTCCAATGGTTATTGGTCCATAATATTGAGCCTAAAAATAGTTGTGAAATGAATTACTCGTTGTTTGTTTCTAGTTCTGCAGATGATAGTTTTGTTTGTTTGAAATTGAACAGTTTTTATGGAGGTGGAAGATTTAATCTGTTGCACAGAAAGTTCATGAGAGATATTGGTATAATTGAAAACATTGTTTGAAATTGAAAGTCCTATCAAATATGTAATGTTTCAGTAAGTTAATTCATTCTGGTGCTCTGTTGATTCTATCCGATATAATTGTACGATTACAATCGGACATTTGAGACAAAATATAAGGGAAGCTGGGGCAAGACGGAGTGGACCTTTTTCTTACCAGTCAGGTGCTGTACTCTGTTGACAACCTTCGTAACTATCTTGAAGGAGAAGGGCAAGACAAGACTACAAACAAACCGGCAGCCATCTTGAGTCACGTCTTTGTTGCCAGTGGATTAAAACGTATTTCTGTAGGTAGATTTTGTTATAATATTTGGTGTTTTTAAAGTTGGGACTTGTAAGTTGTGTTAAAATAATTTAATACGTAATTAGTATATTCAAATAGTATGTATCCTTGCCTTAAATAGTATCACTACTTCTATTATAAAACATTGAAGCTTAATTAACCTGAAAACTGTGCGGTGGGACAGGGCAGGGATACCGGCCTGAGAGCAAGTTTTCTATAGTAGACAGTGCAAGGCTGGAGGAAATATATTTTTTTAAGTTTATTCCAATACAATTTTGACGTATAGGTTATTATTATTGAATTATTATTAGGATATTGTTTTTTGTTGCAGAAAATAGTACATAACGACCAGAGAAAAACGCTCATGTGATGGTGACGAAGATGACGACGAGGTTCATCATATTTGCGAATTTTGTAAATACAATTTTTCAACCAATATCAAATTATATGTTTTTATTTGTGTAACATTACATAAGTTGATTTCGAAAAACAATTACTTAGGATAAACAAGTTCTACATTTGTATAGGGTTATTTTTAGTCAACGTAGATCAGTCACTGTCAACTTTGGTATAAAATTTGATTTTCTAGGCTTTCTGAAAAAGCTAAAAAAAACTCCTTGAGGGCCCCATCTTACTCCACCTTTCCCTTTATTTAGAGTTTCTATCTTTGAAATTGTAATGGAATTCCATTTCCTTTTGAAGTGCTTCATTTTATCTTATTGTTGTTAACAGTTGCAAAACAATCCTGACAATTTTGTATTTAAAGTCACGTTTTGTTTGAAGGATTATTGAATCGCACAGTTTTGTAAATTGTTCTCTACTTTCTACAGCATGACTATTCTGCTACAATTACTGGAACATTTTCTTGAAACAATAGGTACTGTTTTATCAAAAAATGAAACCCACATTCCAATATGAATACTTACATCCATATAATTTTTCAACACTTCTTCACCAGAGTTAACAGAGGCATCATATTTACTGATTAGATCCTCCTTTACAGCATTATATCACTGGGCCTTGAAAGTTGAAACAACTCTACTAAGCCCGTTTTTCATAGCGATAAGAAATGAATAAAAATGTTCACTCACCTCAACAGTGTCAGAGGATAAAAATCCTTTGAGAGCGCCAGATCCGTAAGATATATTGAATTCTCGGTTATCTTCCTCGTAGGTTGAAGATTTTTTTGAATCGTACCTGTTATGGAATCCTGAAATGAAGTAGGCAATCTTAAAACATGTTTTGAAGTGGGATAATGACAGTTTTATCAAGTGTTCTCGGTTTACTACGCTATTACTTGTTGAACTTCTGTAAAGTTCATGTGTACCTTTGTTCACTTGAGAATCAAACATCTGAATAGTGACTGGAATGAAAAAAATAGCTAAATGGAATAGCTTCGAAGTTTTACAATAAAGAGAGAGTTACATAAGCAGAAGTTCATTTCTTGGTAGGTATGGAACCGAAAAAGCCCCGCACATTTCGGTCTTGGTAGCTTCAAGTTACACGCTAGGATCAAGTAAGAGTCTCTTGATTGGCGGGAGCAATTAAAACCTGAATCCATGCGAGGGCCTGGCTGGTAAGCACTTCAGGTAAGCACTTAGAGCGGTGATTGTGCGAAAGTAGCGATTCCCGTTAGATTTGAATCGCTGGAGAGAAGTTCGATGTATATTGAGCTGAACCTCAAAACGATGAACAGCCACAGTCCATCGCGTATTTCTGATACGTAAAGCTTTCGGTGAAATCTAATGTGTCAAGTCACTTAAACACCTCCCGTTGAAGAGAGAGGGAGACAAATCTTTTTTCCGATGTTCCAGCTTCTTTGAGTAGTTGGTTTTATTTGATCGGATTTGAGTATATATGAACCACAATGAACCTTCGTGGGTTGCAGTGGAGTGTCGAATAAACTCATTTCCTCTGAACCTACCCACCTACTGTAGGCTTGTTATGTTCCCCTCAATCAAAAAGTTATTAGATTATATTCAGGATCACGATTGAAAATTCTGAAAAAGTTGTTTGAAAAACTAGAATTCTAAAGAGTTATTTTGCAGGTTTTCAACTTTTCAAAAATACTGTCAATCATAGTTCGTTGTTACTCCATAAGAACCAGAATACATTAATGGGTAGGAAATTGATGAATATAATAATAATAATAATAAAGTATAACTCACTACAAGCAAACTCGAATAGACCGCACTTTTCAGAAGGGACCCATAAATTTGAGGACCCAGTATCAAAAATAACATTGAACGTCTGTCCAGGTGTTCCAATGGTTATTGGTCCATAATATTGAGCCTAAAAATAGTTGTGAAATGAATTACTCGTTGTTTGTTTCTAGTTCTGCAGATGATAGTTTTGTTTGTTTGAAATTGAACAGAAAGTTCATGAGAGATATTGGTATAATTGAAAACATTGTTTGAAATTGAAAGTCCTATCAAATATGTAATGTTTCAGTAAGTTAATTCATTCTGGTGCTCTGTTGATTCTATCCGATATAATTGTACGATTACAATCGGACATTTGAGACAAAATATAAGGGAAGCTGGGGCAAGACGGAGTGGACCTTTTTCTTACCAGTCAGGTGCTGTACTCTGTTGACAACCTTCGTAACTATCTTGAAGGAGAAGGGCAAGACAAGACTACAAACAAACCGGCAGCCATCTTGAGTCACGTCTTTGTTGCCAGTGGATTAAAACGTATTTCTGTAGGTAGATTTTGTTATAATATTTGGTGTTTTTAAAGTTGGGACTTGTAAGTTGTGTTAAAATAATTTAATACGTAATTAGTATATTCAAATAGTATGTATCCTTGCCTTAAATAGTATCACTACTTCTATTATAAAACATTGAAGCTTAATTAACCTGAAAACTGTGCGGTGGGACAGGGCAGGGATACCGGCCTGAGAGCAAGTTTTCTATAGTAGACAGTGCAAGGCTGGAGGAAATATATTTTTTTAAGTTTATTCCAATACAATTTTGACGTATAGGTTATTATTATTGAATTATTATTAGGATATTGTTTTTTGTTGCAGAAAATAGTACATAACGACCAGAGAAAAACGCTCATGTGATGGTGACGAAGATGACGACGAGGTTCATCATATTTGCGAATTTTGTAAATACAATTTTTCAACCAATATCAAATTATATGTTTTTATTTGTGTAACATTACATAAGTTGATTTCGAAAAACAATTACTTAGGATAAACAAGTTCTACATTTGTATAGGGTTATTTTTAGTCAACGTAGATCAGTCACTGTCAACTTTGGTATAAAATTTGATTTTCTAGGCTTTCTGAAAAAGCTAAAAAAAACTCCTTGAGGGCCCCATCTTACTCCACCTTTCCCTTTATTTAGAGTTTCTATCTTTGAAATTGTAATGGAATTCCATTTCCTTTTGAAGTGCTTCATTTTATCTTATTGTTGTTAACAGTTGCAAAACAATCCTGACAATTTTGTATTTAAAGTCACGTTTTGTTTGAAGGATTATTGAATCGCACAGTTTTGTAAATTGTTCTCTACTTTCTACAGCATGACTATTCTGCTACAATTACTGGAACATTTTCTTGAAACAATAGGTACTGTTTTATCAAAAAATGAAACCCACATTCCAATATGAATACTTACATCCATATAATTTTTCAACACTTCTTCACCAGAGTTAACAGAGGCATCATATTTACTGATTAGATCCTCCTTTACAGCATTATATCCATTTTCTCTAAGAATTGTCCTGGCTGGTTTGATTTTTGTCAGAGGAATTCTTGAAATATATGAAAATATATGTAAAATATAGGAATTTCGGCGACGATGATTGTAATAAAATCGATTTTGACTCAGAAATTCATCTATAGTGGGCTATGCTCAACTTACGATAGAAATAATTTTAAACTAATTCAAACTATTTGTCCCTTTTAGAATTAGGCTAAAAACAACTCCAGTTTACATCCTCCCAATTAAAAAAACCAATCACAATTTCTTTTCTCAAAAAAGGCTAACTTATTCCGATTTTCCATGCTAGCCCTTCATATCTTGATCACACAGTATATGTGCTACTAGACTTATGTAACATGCCCTAAATAAATTATCATCACTGTTCATGATAATAATTAGGTATACAATTTTCGGAATAAAATATATTTGAAAGTCAGTTAACTGACGAAGCAGCTGTGTGGAGAAACGCATTAAAATTTGTGAAAAATCTATAATTATTATCAAGGATAGTGTTATTAATTTTCATCAAATAACGGGTCAGAGTATTCATAATATTATTATTGTTATCTACAGTATACATGAGTCTAAATAAATTATAAACGTTCTCAATGTGTGCAGAACTTTTTTATGATATTAAAACAGAAATAATAATTAATGGTAATAAATTATTACCCCAGTGAAAGCTTTAAATATCGAGCGAATTCATTATACCTGATTAAATCAGCATTGATGACGGCTATCAAACAGAAGGCACTTATTAGGACACGCATTCTAACAAGACCACAGTAACCACCCGTAGAATATGAGAACATTTTGTTTTTGCATCTTTTTTATACGTTCAAGACTTGAAGCACTTAAAAAACACTTTGATTATTTCATTGTTCATTGATAGAATTTAAAAATTCAATCAGGCACATGTTGATTGAAATCTTTCTAATCAGTTCTTTTTTTAGATGAGTGGTTTTTGATAATGACGACTATGATTGCAAAAACTGCCACATAGTTTCACATAAATTCGCAGAACATATCTTAAACTACGAAATCCTTAAGAACACATCAGGAAGGCAAAAGAAAGTCACAAGGATCAAGGTATTTTTTTCCATCAAGAATTAAATTTTCCTCGCACCTGAACCAAATACAGATACCTAACGGAAAAACAACGACTAACCAGCTAATGTCGAGCAGAGAGTTGAGGTAAAACCATCAGAAACCTGTGCAACGTCTCCGACTTGGAAGATTCGTCGCAAGTTATTTCCCACTATGGAAAGCAGTAATTAGTTTCATTTGGTCGATACGACCAACCAATAGACCGGTTTCGGGGTACTTGCCCCATTATCAGTACCGGGCATGGTCTCTTCCGAACGGTGTGAACCGTCGTATCACGACCAAACACTAACTAACCAAGCGTCTTCAGTTCAATCAGGTTGGAGCATAGCTCCCTTACCCTTGTAGAGTATTAACCGAGCAAGAGGATATCCGAACGTGGATAATCGAACCCAAAAACCCAGTCAATTGTCATAAGAGACATAGGTATAAATTGTATATTAGGGTAGCAAGAAAGTAGTTGGTAGTTGTAGAGAGTAAAATGTAAAGAATATCTTGTGGAATCATAAAATAAAGGATTTCCAGGAAGAAGTCTGGTCTTTGAATACATAACAACCCTTATAGCTGATTTTTCACAGAAAGACAAATGAGTTCATGACTAAAGGGATGGTGGCGGTGTGAAAGTCCTCAGACATCAGTACCGCCCTTAACGGGGTATCCCTACCTGGCTGCGGGGGATGGATGGAAAAATTGTTCATCCGCTAACGGGGGACATGAGGGCTTCTTTCGACAGAGTGTCGGGGCCTTCTATATCGGGAGGGGTCGTCTACAGCATAATCTATAGCTTCCCTAACTAACGGATTTTCGTGAGTTTCCGCGCCCTCAAAAACTCGCCGATTCCTCGACTGAATGGACTGCTGAATGGAAGGCAGCTGCAAATCTCTGCGGATGGCTTCATTCCGCACGAACCACGGAGCATTCACAATCATCCGTATCAACTTATTTTGTAATCTCTCCAGGATGGAGATATTAGACGGAGCCGCTTGTCGCCAGACGCCTGAAGCATACATGATGACAGGCTTGAACATCGTATTGTAGACTTTGTAGATGGTAATTTTGTTCTTTAGACTCATTATTGATTTTCTGTTGATCAGAGGGTACAGACTAGCTATACGACCCTCGATCTTTGATTTAACGCACATAATGTGCGGGTTCCAAGTGAGCCTACGGTCTATTAGAAGACCGAGGTACTTTACCCGCGCTTGCCAGTCGATCTCCCTTCCAGATTTTTCTCTTTTTTGGCTGGAGAAGGTAGTAATTTCCCATGGTTATCGCCTGTCTTATTCGGGTTCACTCGGATCTTCCAATCGAGGTACCAGCGCTCGATGTCGTCTAATGCACGTTGCATGTAGACCACGCCGAGCTCTCGACCCATGGAAGATGAGAAGAGAGACATGTCATCGGCGTACAGGGATATCTTTACACGCTCAGGCCTCAGAAGGTCGCTGTTGTAGAGGGAGTACAGCGTGGGATACGACCAAGCTCGACCAAACGTCTTTATTTCATTCAGGTTGGAACCCAGCTCCCTTACCCTTTTAGCTAATTTTTGTCGAAGAAGGACAAATGGCTTCATCACTGAGGGGATATTGGCGGTATGAAGTCTTCATCAAATATCAGTCCCCTCCTTCACGAGGTACCCGTACCTGGCTGGGGTGGAATATATGAAAAATCTATTCGTCCTTTACCGGGAGAAATGAGGGCCTCATTCAACAGTGTCGGGGCCTTATATATCGGGAGGGGTCGTCTACAGCATAATCTATAGCTTCCCTAACTAACACACGACCAAATAAATGTAATTCCAGCTAGTCACGATCTCTTTCTGCAGTTGATTCAGTAGTATGTCCAGTGCGCCACCTGCAGACAAAGCCAGGAAACAACTCCACAAACAAGTCTCTTATAAGGACGTTTTCAAACTTATACATATTTGAAAATGTCCTTATACATTTTCAAACTTACATACATATTTGAAAATGTCCTTATAGGGCGAACCTGCAGTAACGTTAGTTACAAATGAAAGTGGTAAAAAAACATAGAAGTTTCAAGTCTCCTTTCTTCTTCACCACTTTTCATCAATTTATGTAACAATTTTACGTTTCGGCTCTCGTATTTTTAACACATTGATTGTGTGAATTTAATATGATATCATTTTCATATCAGGCACGTTGGTAAGATAAAATGATCATTCGTCACAACTCATCATGAATGTTTTTGTAATAGAATTTTCACATTACACTTGAATGATAAAGGTGTACAAAGGAGACTTATTTTTCAGTTTTGTCATGCAGATAAAGACCAATTCGATAGTGAAAATATGAACTCAAGTGTCCTTGAATTAGATTAAAGATTATTTTAAAAAAACCCGTGATCAAAGATTCTTTGTTTGAAAGAAAGTAGAAACAATTCTAGTTTCCGATGAAACTAGTTAATATCCGAGAATAATCCTGCATAAAACTACTTTCTTTAACTCATTTCTAGTTCAATTTTTTTATCGATCCTCGCCTCCCTATCCATCAATTGAAAAATGTTGTATCGAGGTACTGCTGGACACAAACTTGGTAATGTGGTGGTGCTCCATTCTGCTGAAACCATATCGTATTCACTGGAACTTGAGGGTTTCCTTGATCAGGATATAAAATTGCTAAACTTGGAATGACATCATTTTAAAATACACCTCAATTCAGGAATTTCTTCGTTACAGATAAACAAACAACTAAACTTAAGCAGCTTCGGCAAAGCCAACACGGTTGTTGCCCAAGTCGAATTCGGTGTAGAATTTACCGATGAAAACGTCACCCAGATAGGCAGATAGTTTTACCTGCTTGACGCCCTTTCCACCAACCAATTTGGCGTCATCAGAAGATGAAGAAATAATGGCCTATTTGGAATGAGTCCTTTGTCACTCTAGATGTAGATCTTACCGTTTCCGAGATATCAATAGTGGAGTCTTGGTCCTGGGCGGGATCATCTTGAAGATGATCACTTGTTGATCGAAACACGTGTCGAGGTATTGAAATAACGTTTTGGTGTTGGCATAAAACTCCAGTTGTAATGATTTTATGTACACATTCACTTCATAATAAACTTTCGGTATTATTTGAATTAGTTTCTACAGAATCATTCATATCTTCGGGAACGAAAATGTATAATCTTTAGTAAATATACGGTACATATTTGAGATTCTCTTCATACTATTGATTACAAATAAAACACCCATGAATTATATCTCCAATTTAATAAATATTATAAACAACAAATAGATTTTCAAACGGCAGTTGCTAAGCCTATTCTGTTATTTCCCAAATCGAATTCTGTGTAGTATTTTCTGATGAAAACGTCTCCCAAAATCCACAGAGGACCAACTGGAGGTTCAATGTCCATTCCCATGAAGGGAGAGAAGCATTGGGTTGTGTATCCTGAAATAACCTATAACAAGAGTGAGGTATTCAAACATGAAATATAAATGCAAGTTTCATTGTGATATTTCGTAAATTCCACTCATCGTTGCCTTAGAAAAAATTAAGAAAACTTTTTTAAAGCTCACGTGGTCATTTTTACAAAACAAAACTTATCACTTTGGCATTTTCGTGTCTATTGTCTCGGTTTTCCATCTGTCGTCATTCAATTATTGGTTAATATTGTCAAATTGTGTTTTGAAATGAAATAAAAACTGTAGGATCCTAGGAAAAGGATGAATATTTACTAAACATGTTATTTATTCGCTTTTTTAGTACTTTTTATTCGATCTAGTACTTTTTTTCGTTCCCTCTGTAGTATTTATTCTCAAAGGATTGCGCCAACTCTGGTTTGAAACATATTAAGCAGCGGCTCATATTAGTATATGTAGTGCTTATTTATTCCCGTGAATAGATACAACTCCACAGTTTGGACTAGTCTTTCTCAAAGTGGGCGATAACGCCCCCTTGTGGGCGCTGGAGGCCTATAGAGGGGCAGTAAAGGGCACAGCGGTTTAGGGGGGCGATGGCTAATTAAAAAATGTGTTTTTGCTTTTAACACAAACTTCACCGCTCCTTTACGCTTAACGCGCGTTTCCTTGTGTAACGCCATCTAGGGGACTAGACAGTTACTATTTCCTGTTCGATAGTTGTTAAACTGTACAATAGATGGCGGTAAGCTCCAATGCGAAGCGGGAAGTTTCTAGTCTCCATTCTCGAAAGTAATGTTATTCGACGAAAACAAGTGAATTTAGTTAGCGACTAGCTAACTGGTGAATACTGCGAGTGGTGTCATTAGCAAGTTTTCAATACTCGATTCTTTACTTCGGCATTTTTTAAGACAAAATTATGTCAGAAGCAAAAAAGAAGAAACGGCAGTATAGCGCGGAATATTTAAAATATGGATTTATTGAAAATCCCACACATCCATCTTCGCCTATGTGCCTGCTTTGTCAAAAAACATTTTCGAACGAAGCGATGAAACTCTCAAGGCTACAAGATCATTTGAATAAAACGCATTCAGATGAAAAAGACAAAAGTGTGACTTATTTTCAAGAACTGGAAAAGTAAAACTCAGCTCAGCCAACTGTGTCAAAACTTTTATCAGCGGCTTCTAAGCAAGACGACGACGGACTCCGAGCTCCCTACAATATCTCCTTGCTAATTGCTCAATCAGGTAAACCTCACGCTATTGGAGAGGATTTAATTTTACCAGCAATAAAAGAAGTAATAACTATTGTGTTCCATGAACTAGCGGCAGATATCCGAAAAATTCTTTTGAGCAATAGTTCCGTACAAAGACGAATTGATGAGATGGCTGAAAACATTGAAGAGTCATTGTGCAATCATCTGAAGACTTTCAAAGTCTCAATTGAGTTAGATAAGTCCACTTACGTACGTGAGGTTTATTAAAAATGAACAAATATATCAAGAACTACTATTTGCCAGAAATTTAGAGACGGATACAAAAGGAGAAACCATATACAAGAATAATATCGGCAGACGTGAGTTTCGCAATTTCCCTAATTTGTCAACAGTATCCTTTTCAACAATGACAACTTGCTTGTTTACTGCCGACATTTGGAGAACCTCCACATCAGTGATTTCGCAGATCGATTCCAGGACATTTTAAAATTGGAAATAGCGGACTGGGTATTGGATCCTTTTTCAAATGTCAACACAGCAGGATCACCCCAGCTGGAAGAAGAACTCATAGAACTGATAACGAACGAGGAAATAAAAATAAAAATTCAAAAATGGATACCAAGAATTTTGGCTACAAAAGCCAATCCCGCATATTGTACCCTGGATTGTGGTCCATCGTTCAATGATTTTTGATAGCATTCCCATCATCGTATTTGTGTGAACGTGGATTTAGTGCTGTGGCAACGATGCTAACTAAAAAGAGAAATCGGTTGCAGATTACCGAACACGATGCCTTACGGCTGTTTTTGAGTAAATTCGAGCCTGATATTAACAAACTTGTTAAAAATCATCAAATTCATCCTTCACGTTAGATCAGTTTTAAAATTCGAATCGAAATGTTTGCTTTAATAACATTAATAAAAGTTTTTCTAATATTATAAAATAGTGTTTTTCATTACCCTTATCAGAAAGTCTTATTTTCACATGACACACATGTGTCATGTGTCATTATCAAAATAATGACTGTGATTGTGATTCTTAAGCTGTAGTAAAGTAAAAAAAATTGGGGGGTGCTAGAAAATAATTGATTCTCGAAGTGGGTGGTAGACAAAATGAGTTTGTGAACGTCTGGAACGTAAATTGCAATATTTCTTCTTGATGTACTTTTAATGATGCAACTTGGTTAGCAACATTCGCGTCGAGAGACAGTATTTTTGTTCTGGTGTGTTTTTAATAGATTACGAGCTTTCAGATTCATGATCAGCGGACCAAAATACATAGATAACAATAAAATTTTCAGAAATAAGTGTGGCCGAGTAATCGAAAAACAACCTCCTTTCTGTAGGTACTAGGAAATGATTAACACATTTCTCATATGGCTTTGATGCTAGCTCTACCTTGTGGAGATGATCCACTTGATACTAACTTTCAAAATATATTCTGATGGTTCCAACGTGAAAGTTTTTCCTCCTATGACGAATTTTACATGAGGTAACGTTGATATATATCTGCAATTCACTACGTATTGGCCTCCAGTAGTTGGTTTTGCTACCATCATCTGAAAGTAAAAATAGATTAGATTTAGGTAAATTTCTGAAATCATTTGTTTTGCGCTCCAACTGAAATATCACTTGTCATTTTAGATTGTCATCTGGAATGTTTTTTATTCCAACGATTATGGACATACAGGATTGCTTCCTTACATTTATCGCCACGTTGAACAAGCGTCAAGCGGATATGACGTAACACTGGTGACACTTCTAGTAGCTGCCATAAGACTGTGTGTTGTTTTAACATTTTCTGAGGATTATTTTCAGACAGTATTACATTGTTTTTGTTTATTTTGATTGAGTTTCTATTCAACTATACCAATTAAGTTTCTGAAACATTGAGTTTCTTATTGTGGAAGTCGTATTTTTTTGTGATTTTGGACATTTCTTAAACTGGTGTCACGAGTAGACGCCATTTAAGACTCTGTTATTTTTTCCTTTTGAGGTTTGTTTTTTGCCATTGTGGAACTTTTTTTGTTTTTTGAACATTTTTAAATTAAATTAAGGTAAAAATTGGAAATATTTACATTTTTGTAAGTAATAGCAATAATTGTCTAACCATTAAATAACCTTGTAATTTTTAGGTAAAATGCATGGTCGTATTCGTGCAGTGTCAACTTGCAAAAGCAATCAGTTGACTTTAAAGAAAAGTGGTGTCACTGATGTAATATTTCACCCTTTTTCCTATTGCTAAGAATATTGTTTCCACAACTTTGCAAAAAGAATGGATCCTTTGCCGCAAAAGAGGGGATAAATTCACTCTCAAAAATGGATTTGTTTGTTCCAAACATTTTATAGAAAATGATTATGAACGAGACCTTGAAAATGAATTGTTAGTTNAAATGAAATGCGCAAATTTTGTAATTTCACAAATGATCAAAATAAACTAGCAGCATTGAGCACGGGCACTATTTTTCCTCTAACTTGGTACGAATTAACTCCACCAGTTGAACCAGGGCTTCATTGAGCGTCCGGCGACAGTTGCAACTGGGCTCCCGTGTATTGGAAGGAGTTGTGCTGTTATACATTAATCTACTTACACCTTATTTGCTAGAATGATGTTCTTCCAATCAGTTTTTTAATATTTCTCAGTATAATTTTCCATGTTTCGAAAATTCCGACTAAAACAAGGAATAATGTGAATTGCGAATAAGATCAGATTATGTTACGAGGTTAGGTTGGTTTGAAATGAAAAAAGTTTAAATTTTGATATTGAAGTCTGAACTTTTAAATTACGTTATAGAAAGTGAGGTTAGGATTATTTCCTTCCTTGAAATCATGGTAGCTAAGTTAGAACTGTCGCGAGATGTTTGTGAAAGCAATTCGGTAAACAGTTTAATTCATGCTTTATACCGGGTGAGAGTAAAGTCTTAATTATACATGGATGAGACGACTTCCATTGAATAATTTAAGAGATATTTGGTCAATGACTTCAATCAGTATCACTAGAATTACGGCCAATATTTGGTATGAGCGTAAAGCAAAATTACCCTGTAGAAATAAAATTTCAACTTTTTTTGTGAATAGTTATAGGTATTCTCCGAACGACCGATTTCGTTTCAGTAAACTGACAGGCCTACCTGATGGATATCCTGAATATCTTTTTTTGGTCCGATAATCAAACTGGTACCGGTATCGACTATGGCTTGACAATTGCTATGACAAAACAGTAAACCATATAAGCTCAAATAATCCATTTTGATTTGCCAGTACCCTTGTCGTGTGACAGGTACGTAAGTGAAGTTTCCTTTGTATAATTCAGGATCTGAACCACCAAGAATAAGCTCTCCACCGAATATGGCCATAGGACCCCTAAAATACCACAAAAGTTCAATATCAACTTCCATAAGTCACTATATTTTTCTCTCAAATACACAGTTGATGACAAAATTAATTAGAAGAATATCACAAATGCTGAACATTTTTGAATTTTACATTTGAGAGTTCTTTCATTTGAATAGAAAGATAGTTGTATATTCCAATTTATGTGTAAAAGGGTTCACAGTTTGTCAAGAATAGGAAAAAGTTTCAAAATCTTAATTTGAGACCGCCTTAGCTGTGCGCAGAAGACAGGAGTGGAAACGCCCACAGCCCAGTTAGTCGAATTTGTCTGTTGTGAAGTGAACATCGCGAGTTAATCGCGAGTGTACATACAGTCCGAGCAGAAATGAAGCGTAAAGGGTACAATTTGAGTATTGTAACTTAACCAAGATGGAGTTTAAATTAAACCTAAACCGTAAAGTGCTGAAAAGTCATTGTCCGGTCATTGTCCGCTTAGAGGACACCTGAATAAAATGGGGCTGTACAACGGAGACCTCAGCTGCAGATTATGCAACGAAGGGATATAAACAGCTCTTCATACCTTATGTATGTATGTATGTATGTGTCCCGTTATCGGGACAATCGTCCTCTGTCGCGATCGGAGAGGAGGATAATCTGTCCTTGTTTGTGTACAATTGAAGACAGGTATTTATCGTCTCTTCCTTCCCATTGGAATTATCCCTGTGCTTCTGAATTTCTATTACCTCTATATATATTCTTGGATGGTGATTCGGAGCTTTATCGATTATTTTTGTAACTTCCATTGAGATAATGTGAGTGTCCTTAAGTTCATAAAGACGGGTACAAGGAATTCGGTATACCCCCGGGCGTTGCTGAAGGCTCCCTGGAGTCTTTAGCTGACCTAAGACATTCCCTGGTAGTTTTCGTTTCAAGATGTAAAAGGAGAGTAGGTCGAAGCTCAGTACCTAGTATGACCCCAGGACCTAACTTCATATTTATAATCTTCTCTTGAATAAATGACTATGTTTTCCCTATGAGCGACTACAGGGTTGTCAAGTATTTGGCCGAAAATGGAAAGTGACAAAAATTTAACAATAAATAAATAAATTCTCACCTGTTCAAGTAGAATGAGAAGACGGGTTGTGCTACCAATTTTTTATCCACAAGGTTGTAGAAGAAAGGGCGTACTTTCCTGACGGATATTGTATCGTATGCCATTCCCAAAATTCCATCGAATTTACCAGTCAAGAAGGCCAGACCAGGTTCATTGGTGACTTCAGCAAAAGTTTGACCTTCAACTGAGAGACCTGCAACCTATAAGTGAAGATTCTTAGTTTATTATCAATTGAGAAAATGTACACATCCTTTAATAACGCGTGTCGGGAATGTTGGAAACACCAAAAGTTCTCTTTCGATATTCATGGCGACATCTATGTTTATGCAATATTCATAATATCAGTTATGTATAATCAGTTACAGTTAATATCAGAAGAAGAAGAGGCAGTGGACAGGGTCGAAGCTGACAACTGACAATTAAATGCACAGTAAATACGTTATAGTCTTAGTTGCTGAGGCTATTACATGATGAAAGTGAATAAGAAAATATTTGAATAATTTTTCCAATTTTATTGATTTTGTGGTAATGCTCTTCTATAAAAAATCCTATTTCGAAGTCATTATTTCAAGATAAGAAATATTTGTTCAAGACGACAGCTTTCAAAAATTATAAATTTAGAAAATTAGGTACCATCTACTGAGTTGCGCGGGTGGAAGTGAGCATGATCCTGATTCCTGACAGTTTCATTATTATGTATCTGAACGATACAAAAACTGTAAGTTCTGTGGTATTCAATTTGAATGGGGTGCATGCGCGAACTGATTTGCGACAGATATACAAGCGTAACGGAGTATGAAACAGTATAGCTGAATTTTGGTTCATGTGTAGCGACTTAACAAGTTCATTCAGTTGGCAACACTGTTTTGTTTTACCAATAGTGGAATAAAAGCTTTAATAGCGAAAACCGCGTTTTTTACCTTTATCATTTGTAATTTTGTAACAGTCTGCTATTCAAAATAACGAGGAAGAGTATCGCTATCCTGGTGTTTGAGAACATTTCTTGTCATGGATTCATTCTACACGAGAAGTTTCGATACATCCTATCATTTTCTTCCTTTCTCAAGAATTTTTCCCTAGTTTAAACCGCATTTACTGTTTGTGAAAACTGTGCAAATGTGATGAATATTTATTGAAATTTATTTCTGGGTCTTGAAAGTTGAAACAACTCTCATGAGCGCGTTTTCCATACCGATAAGAAACGAATACAAATTTTCACTCACCTCAACAGTGTCAGTAGATAAAAATCCTTTGAGAGCGCCAGATCCGTAAGAAATATTGAATTCTCGATTATCTTCTTCGTAGGTTGAAGAATTTTTTGAATCGTACCTGTTATGGAATCCTGAAAATAAAGTAGGAGATCTAAAAACGTGTTTTGAAGGGGAATAATGACAGTTTTATCAAGTGTTCTCGTGTTTCTTCGCTATTACTTGTTGAACTTCTGTAAAGTTCATGTGTATTTTTGTTTCCTTGAGAATCAAACATCTGAATAGTGACTGAAATGAAAAAACAGCTAAATTGGATAGGTTCGAAGTTTTAAAATGAGGGGTGTGTAGGTATGGAACCGAAAAAGCCCCTCAAGCAAAATGTTATTAGATTGTGTTCAAAAGCATGGTTGAAAACAATCCAATTGAAATTCAAAAGTCATCGATAGTTGATTGGAATACTTGAATTCTAAAGAGTAATTCTGTTGTAAGTTTTCGACTTTTCAAAAAGACGATCAATCACAGTGTTTTTCGTTATTCCATGAGAACAAGGATATATTAATGGGTAAGAAATTAATGAATATAATAATAATAAACTATAACTCACTACAAGCAAACTCGAATAGACCGCACTTTTCAGAAGGGACCCATAAATTTGAGGACCCAGTATCAAAAATAACATTGAACGTCTGATCTTCTTTAGAACTTTTCATGAATTGATGTAACAATTTCGCGTTTCGGCTCTCGTGTTTTTAACCTATTGATTGTGAAAATTTGATATGATATCATTTTAACTTCAGTAAGATAAAATGATCATATATTCCATTCGTCACAACTCATCATGAATGTTTTTGAAATCTCAGAATAATAAACACAATTTTCGCATTACACTTGACTGATACAGGTGTACAAAGGTGATGAACTTATTTTTCAGTTTTGCGATGCGGATAACGATCAGTGTGTTAGTGTCAAGAGTCCTTGACTTGATTAAAGATTATTTTAAAAAAACCCGTGATCAAAGATTCTTTGTTTGAAAGAAAGTAGAATCAGTGAAACTAGTTAATATCCGAGAATAATCCTGCATGAAACTATTTTCTATAACTCATTTCTAGTTCAATTTTTCAAATATTAGGTTGTTTCAAAAGTTTCTTTCTTAATTTTAATTTTTGCCACTTTTCAGCTCATTACTATTTACTATACAGTGTGTAAGAGCCAAATGGAATAAATTCATTATTTCGATTAATGTACATATTTAAAAAAAACCGAAACACGTCAAATGTAAATTATAATTTGACATTCTTCAACGTAAAAACGCCACCCCTATCTTCAACCCCCTTCGAATGACAGGTACAACCCTCAATTTTTTAATGGGAAGTATAGGTTTGTGATATATCGTTTGAAAGCAATCTTCGTTTTCTATTCAAAAATGTTATCGCTTTCAAGTTCATTGCAACAATTAAAATAAAATAAATTAAAATACTGTGGTTACCGAAATTCGCTAAAATACAGTCAAAAACTAAAATGTAATGCAAAACGTAAAAAAATGTAGAATACTAAAAAGAACTATGGATGTTAACGAAGTAAATGTTCAAAATGTTCACCGCGAACGTCTTGGCTATATCGTAATCTCAAATAAAACTGTCTTCTAACATTATTTACCATACCAGGCGTGACCGACCTAATCGCAAGGGTTATTCGTTGTTTTAAGTCATTCCAATCTGAAGGTTTAGTTTTGTACACATTGCTCTTTACATATCTCCATAAAAATAAATCTAACGATGAAAGATCAGGTGATCGCGCTGGCCTTTAAATCGATCCTTGTCTCCCCATCTGGGAACTGTTGTATCGAGGTATTGCCGGACATTAACTTGGTAATGTGATGGTGCTCCATCCTGCTGAAATCATATCGTATTCACTGGAACTTGAGGGTTTCCTTGATCAGGATATAAACTTGCCAAACTTGGAATGACATCATTTTGGCTCACAGGGAAATTTTAAAAGCCCAGGATTGGTTTTCTAGCAATAAATTAATCTGCAATGATAAAAAATCATCCTTCCTAAGATTTAGTTATGCCCCAAATGGTCATGATCACAGTTTACTGTTTTAATCACAGCACGGTTTAATGAAACAGGTGAATTCAATAAAATTTCTAGGACTTACTCTCACTGAAGGTTGTAGAAGAAAGGGCGTACTTTCCTGACGGATATTGTATCGTATGCCATTCCCAAAATTCCATCGAATTTACCAGTCAAGAAGGCCAGACCAGGTTCATTGGTGACTTCAGCAAAAGTTTGACCTTCAACTGAGAGACCTGCAACCTATAAGTGAAGATTCTTAGTTTATTATCAATTGAGAAAATGTACACATCCTTTAATAACGCGTGTCGGGAATGTTGGAAACACCAAAAGTTCTCTTTCGATATTCATGGCGACATCTATGTTTATGCAATATTCATAATATCAGTTATGTATAATCAGTTACAGTTAATATCAGAAGAAGAAGAGGCAGTGGACAGGGTCGAAGCTGACAACTGACAATTAAATGCACAGTAAATACGTTATAGTCTTAGTTGCTGAGGCTATTACATGATGAAAGTGAATAAGAAAATATTTGAATAATTTTTCCAATTTTATTGATTTTGTGGTAATGCTCTTCTATAAAAAATCCTATTTCGAAGTCATTATTTCAAGATAAGAAATATTTGTTCAAGACGACAGCTTTCAAAAATTATAAATTTAGAAAATTAGGTACCATCTACTGAGTTGCGCGGGTGGAAGTGAGCATGATCCTGATTCCTGACAGTTTCATTATTATGTATCTGAACGATACAAAAACTGTAAGTTCTGTGGTATTCAATTTGAATGGGGTGCATGCGCGAACTGATTTGCGACAGATATACAAGCGTAACGGAGTATGAAACAGTATAGCTGAATTTTGGTTCATGTGTAGCGACTTAACAAGTTCATTCAGTTGGCAACACTGTTTTGTTTTACCAATAGTGGAATAAAAGCTTTAATAGCGAAAACCGCGTTTTTTACCTTTATCATTTGTAATTTTGTAACAGTCTGCTATTCAAAATAACGAGGAAGAGTATCGCTATCCTGGTGTTTGAGAACATTTCTTGTCATGGATTCATTCTACACGAGAAGTTTCGATACATCCTATCATTTTCTTCCTTTCTCAAGAATTTTTCCCTAGTTTAAACCGCATTTACTGTTTGTGAAAACTGTGCAAATGTGATGAATATTTATTGAAATTTATTTCTGGGTCTTGAAAGTTGAAACAACTCTCATGAGCGCGTTTTCCATACCGATAAGAAACGAATACAAATTTTCACTCACCTCAACAGTGTCAGTAGATAAAAATCCTTTGAGAGCGCCAGATCCGTAAGAAATATTGAATTCTCGATTATCTTCTTCGTAGGTTGAAGAATTTTTTGAATCGTACCTGTTATGGAATCCTGAAAATAAAGTAGGAGATCTAAAAACGTGTTTTGAAGGGGAATAATGACAGTTTTATCAAGTGTTCTCGTGTTTCTTCGCTATTACTTGTTGAACTTCTGTAAAGTTCATGTGTATTTTTGTTTCCTTGAGAATCAAACATCTGAATAGTGACTGAAATGAAAAAACAGCTAAATTGGATAGGTTCGAAGTTTTAAAATGAGGGGTGTGTAGGTATGGAACCGAAAAAGCCCCTCAAGCAAAATGTTATTAGATTGTGTTCAAAAGCATGGTTGAAAACAATCCAATTGAAATTCAAAAGTCATCGATAGTTGATTGGAATACTTGAATTCTAAAGAGTAATTCTGTTGTAAGTTTTCGACTTTTCAAAAAGACGATCAATCACAGTGTTTTTCGTTATTCCATGAGAACAAGGATATATTAATGGGTAAGAAATTAATGAATATAATAATAATAAACTATAACTCACTACAAGCAAACTCGAATAGACCGCACTTTTCAGAAGGGACCCATAAATTTGAGGACCCAGTATCAAAAATAACATTGAACGTCTGTCCAGGTGTTCCAATGGTTATTGGTCCATAATATTGAGCCTAGAAATAGTTTTGAAATGAATTATCCGTTCTTTGAAATGGAACATGTTTTCATGGAGGTGGAAGATTTCATCTGTTGTACAGGAACTCCATGAAAAATATTGTTATAGTTCAAAAAATTGTTTGAAATTGAAATTCCTATCAAATATGTAATATTTCAGGCAGTTAATTCATTCTGGTGCTCTGATGATTACAATCGGACATTTGAGACAAAATATAAGGGAAGCTGGGGCAAGACGGCGAGGACCTTTTTCTTCTCAGTCAGGTGCTGTACTCTATTGGCAACAATCGTAACTATCTTGAAGAAGGGCAAGACGGCAAGACTGCAAACATAGCGGCAGCCATCTTCAGTCACGCGTTTATTGCTAGTCAATTAAAACGTATTTCTGCAGACCCTTGTAATATTGGTGTTTTTAAAGTTGTGACAGGTAAGTTGTTTTAGAATAATTTAATACGTTATTAGTATAAAAACATTAATGCTCAACCTGAAAACTGTGCCGTGGGGCAAGACGGGAATACCGGCTTGAGGACAAGTTCTCTATAGTAGACAGTGCAAGGCTGGAGGAAATGTAATTTTATTGAGTTTATTCCAATACCAATTTGACGTATAGGTTATTATTATTGAGTTATTATTAAGAAATTGTATTTTGTTGCAGAAAATGGTACGTAATTACCAGATAAAAACGCTCATGTGCTGGTGACGAAAATGATGAAGACGAGGGACATGATATTTGCGCATTTTGTAAATAAAATTTTTGAACCAATATCAAATTATATGTGTAAAATTACAAAATTGGATTTTGAAAAACTTTTGCATGTCTTTTTTTCAACTTTTCTTTCAAATTATTTCCAACCCATCTTGCCCCACAGTATACTTTTTAAAAATACCTCTACGTATGTAAAGAAATTAGATTTCTTTAATTTTGAATTTGGCGCGCTTCGCGTGCTGGCATATCAATGTCAAACTTTTTGATCTGTAGTTTTTTGTTGAGGTTAGATTCATTAGAATGTGGCGTTAAGAAAAAGGCCTTGAAATAGTTTCATATTGAGATTTATTTTGTGACTATACAAATTGGAAAGGAGGAATAGCCTTTGTATGTTGTTTCTTTCATTTCAGGTGAGGTTTTTACAAAAGTGAAAATAAATAAAATGTTTTCTTTGATGAGTAACTAACAAAATAAAACTTTCATTTCAGAAACACATTGGTTTATTTCAATCCTAACCCATAAGATATAGTCTTATAAGTATAATAAAAAAGTTCAACATTTGTATAGGGTTATTTTTAATCAAAGTTGGTTATTCACTGTTAACTCTAGTATAAAATTTGATTTTCTAGGCTTTCTGAAAAAGCTGAAAAAATTCAAATTCCTTAAAGGCGCCATCTTACCCCACCTTTCCCTTTATTGAGAGGAGTTTCAATTCATCTTTGAAATTGTAAAAAAATCAATTTCTTTTTGAGGTGCCTTATCCTATCTTATTTTTCTTAGCAGTTGCAAAAAAATTCTGACAATTTTGTATTTAAAGTCACGTTTTTTCTGAAGGATTATTGAATTGCAGTATTTTGCTAAATTGACTGAAACATTTTCTTGAAACAGTAACTGTTTTANATAAAACTTGCAGTTTTAATATGTTTACTATCGATCTATGGCTAACATTGAATGTAGTGGATGCCTGTCTACTCGATGTATGTGGGTTTTCAAACTCAAGCATCACTTCTAATTTGAGTTCGTCACTCATTGCATTGGCATCTGCTTTTTTTTATCTGCCCCACATGGCTAAGATCGCGAAACTGCTTCTCTATTTTGCTTATTGTTCCTTGAGATATGAGCAGTAAATTAGGAAATTTCTCATGAAATAGGTGAGCTACTTCCTATTGTGTTCGGGTTTTATCTCCGTAAAATCATTATTTGTAAAACTGTTTTATGCATTTCTGTTAATCTAACCATTTGTCAGACTTGAAGTTAACGAACTTTAAACTTAAATTAAAATACTGACAACTAATGTAACATACAAAACAAGTTGAAATGGCGTTTTAAACTAACGTTGCCATGGAAATTATTTACAGTTCTCTAAAGGATACCACCTAAAAAGAACATTGCTATGGTTTTCGCATACTTTCAACATTGGTTTGCGAAAATGAAGTACTCTCCTCCAGCGAATGGAGAACTTCCTTCAAATGAAATGCACGTTTCTCAAAGTAACAGTTTATTCACGCAAGATGAGAAATATATACTCAATCAGACTACAAGAAAATTATAAAACAGAGAGCATAATTACATCAATCTATATCACCAAACATTCACTATTAGTATTGATGTTCATAAATATATAACAACTCAAATTAAACTATTGGAGTATTACACCTCAATTCAATAATTTCTTTGGTACAGACAAGCAAACAAGTAAAATTAGGCAGCTTCGGCAAAGCCAACACGGTTGTTGCCCAAGTCGAATTCGGTGTAGAATTTACCGATGAAAACGTCACCCAAAATCCACAACGGACCATTTGGTGGTGGAATATCAATACCCATGAATCCAGATAGGCAGATAGTTTTACCTGCTTGAGACACCTGGAAAAAAAACTAATGATATCAATATAACATAGAAAAAATCTCGAAGAAACAAAATATTTAAACAAAGCACTTTTTCCAAAGAACAGAACTGCAACACTCTTCTCGACGCGCTTACTATCAACCAATTTGGCGTCATCAGGAGATGAAGAAACAATGGGCAATTTGGAATGGGTCCTTTGTAACTCTATTTGCCACACTTTGCCATTTCAAGCCTAATGATAACTTTTTTTCAATAAATGGGGTCTATTTAATGTGAACCAGTTTGGTTTTCGCAAAGAATTGTCCACAAGTCAAGCGATTACACAGTTCCCCAACGTGTACAGGGAGTTGGATGAAGGTAAAAAGACGCTAGGGATTTTTATAGACTAAAGTAAGGCATTTGATCTGGTGATCACAAAATTCTCCTAACAAAGCTTGAAATGTATGATATCAGGGGAATAACCCACAAATGGTTTGTAAGTTACTTAGAGGGTAGATACTACCATGTAGAGGTTAGCAGAAATAAATCAGAATCTGAAAATTGTTCCCTTGGGGTTCCTCATGGTTCTATATTAGGTCCACTCTTATATAATATATATGTAAATGATTTTTATAGTGATCAGTTTGTTATGTAAGCTGATGACACATCTTTATTGATAACTCAGGAAAATATTGAAGCCACAGTTAATAACGCATCTGCTGAAACAAAAAGAATCCAAAAGTGGTTCTCAGACAATGGTCTCTTGTTAAATGAAGGAAAAACTGTGCTTTTATGTTTCAATCATTCAAGAACCACTCCACTTATTTATGCAAATTGTATATTGTGCCTCTAAATGCACGGAGTTTGTATTTTTAATTTAGTATTTGTACACGTTTTGACATACTCAATGTCATCTATAGATGATCCAACTGAATATTACTATTATTATTATCTCCAGACTTTCGAAAGACAGATTAAAAGTTTATTGTTCTTCTGTATGAACCAAGATACAGTAATGGGTCAAAAAGTTGAATGTGAAAGCAGCCTTTGAAACTTCTATATGGAACAAGCAGTGAGGACTGTGTTGAAAAATATATCGGTCAGACTAAACGAGTCATTAAAACTTGTTTCAAAAACCACGCAGCACATATCCCGCTTCGAAGACCAGACTAATCTAGTGATCGAGTTTATCAAATTTCAATGTTCTTACCCTCAACACGTAATCTTTTCCATCCAAAGTGAAATTTTTTCCTCCCAATATGAAATCAATTTTTGGCAACTTTGGAATCAGCTGACAGTCTACCATGTATTCACCTCCCATGATGGGTGTGGCACCAATGGCCTGAAAACAATTGTTTCTATAATAACTACACACATAAGCACACAGTAGCAGGTTTGAAACAAAACTTTCACCGAAGAAATAAGTTGAAACGAACTGAACGAGATGATATATTAGGTTGTTTCGAAAGGTTTGTTGTTTATAATGGTCTTGTGTTTTAGTAGCTTCATTTATCGATTCCACTGAGTCGTGATTTACGTGACTGTTCAAAAAGTTGGGCGATGTTCAGATTTCGCGGCCAAAAATAACACCGTAATCATGCCTTGGCCACCGTATTCACCAGGTTCGGCTCCCTGCGACTTTTTCCTATTTCCAAGATTTGAAGATACCCAATAAGGACCACTTTTGCGACGAAGAGATAAAAATCGGATCACCGAGAGAGCTCGAGAATATACCAAAAAGTGCATACTAGAACTGCTTCAAGTATCTGCTCAGGTATCTGAGGATGATGAATAAATAAATTTTATTTGAGAAAAAACAGTGCATTTCTTTAATGCCCCCCCTTTATTTTTTGAACGAGTCTTTGAAGTCGCCATCTTGAAAGTTTCATCTGTCAATTTCACTTCAAAATTACAAAGAGTTTAAAAAAAAACAAATTTGTTCTAAAAACACCTCATTTTTTGAAAAGGATAGTAGATCTTTTACTGTTGCAAGATCCTACCTGATTGATGGACGTAGTTTCTTTCAGAGGACCCGCTATCAAGCTGGTACCAGTATCAGCAATAGCTTCGCAACCACCATCACAAAAAGACTTCGAGCCAATCAGTATTTTGTCCATTTGGAACTGCCAATACGCTTGCCGGTCGACCGGGAGGTACGTGAACTCACCTTTGTAATGTTCTGGATCTGAACCCCCCAATATAAGCTCCCCTCCTTCATTGGCATCAGCATCCCTGAGAAAATTAACGACTGTCACAGAATCGAAATAAAAATAAAACACGAATACAAACCTGTTCAAGTAGAACGAGAAAATGGGTTGAGGAACAAGCCCCTGATCAACCATTTGGTAAAAAACTGGTTTCACTCCATCAACAGATATCCTGCTGTAGGCCATGCCCAGGATACCGTCAAACTTGGCAGCTACGAAAGCCAGACCAGGTTCGCTCAACGCTTCAGCGAACGTTTGCTTTTTCACCTGGAGACCCCCTATCTGGGAAAGCAAATGCAGCAATAGAAATACTTTAAAATCACATACAATATTCAGATACTGTAACTCACCGTAACAACGTCAGTTGATAAAAATCCGCTGAGACTCCCCGACCCGTACTGGATAGCAAACTTTGTACCATTCTTCTGGTACGAAGAAGATTTTGAGGAGTCATATTTGTTGTGCAACACTACAACAGATTATCAAATATTTTTCTTTAGACTAGGAGGTAAACAGGTTCGTTTGAGAATGAAATAAATCTATCTATCTACACTCATTTAAAGTATTTAGGTTTAATCTCAGTTTTTAGGTTTAATTTTAATCTCAATCGTAAGAATTTACGTACACCATTGTAAAAACGTGTTAATATTTTGGGTGCTGCCCGTTAAATAGATGAATGAATGAACCTATCTATCCACATTCGTTTGGAGTCTTTAGGCTTTATCTTAGTTTCGAAGTTTAATTCCAATCTTAATCATAAGTATTTATGCACCACCTTTATGAAAACATATTCCTTGGTGCTGTCCATTAAATAGATAAATGAATAAATCCATCTACCTACACTCAATTAAAGTCTTTAGGTTCAATCTCAGTCTTTAGGTTCAATTTTAATCTCAATCATAAGAATTTATGTACACCATTGTAAAAACATGTTTATATTTTGCTGCCTGTTAGAAAGATACATGAATAAATCTATCTATCCACATTCGTTTGTAGTCTTTAGGTTTAATCTTAGTCTTTAGGTTTGATTTTAATCTCAATCATAAGAATTTATGTACACAATTGTAAAAACATGTTTATATTTTAGGTCTACCCATTAGATATATAATGAATAAATCTATCTATTCACATTCACTTGAAGTGTTTAGGTTTTATCTTAGTTTCAAAGTTTAATTTCAATCTTAATCATAAGTATTTATGTACAACCTTTGTAAAAACATATTTGTAGGGCGCTGCCCATTAAATAGATAAACGAACAAATCTATCTACACTCGTTTGAAGTGTTTAATCTTAATTTCAAGGTTTAATTTCAATCTTAATCATAAGTATTTATGTACACCTTTGTAAAAACATGTTTGTATTTTGGGTGCTGACGTTATATAGATAAATGAAAAAAATGTATCTACCTACACTCATTCAAAGTATTTAGGTTTTATCTTAGTTTCAAAGTTTCCTTCCAATCCTAATCATAAGTATTTATGTACACCTTTGGGTGATGCCCGTTAGGTAGATAAATAATTGAAATAAAACTATTTATCTACACTCATTTAAAGTCTTTAGGTTCAATCTCAGTCTTTAGGTTCAATTTTAATCTCAATCATGAGAATTTATGTACACCATTGTAAAAACATGTTTATATTTTGCTGCCTGTTAGAAAGACACATGAATAAATCTATCTACCCATATTCATTTGTAGTCTTTAGGTTAAATCTTAGTATTTCAATTTTGTGTAGCATTGTTAGTGACTCCCTGCAAGTTGAAACTGAGTAGAATCAGTATAATATGTATCTGTTGCCTTGTGATATAAAATTATAAAAAATTGATTTGATATCAAGATGACCTTATTATAACAGACAAGAGTAAATGCCAATGTATGGAAATCGGCATAAGCAAATAGGAACATCTATTTTAAGAAAGGAAATAATTCAACCCTTTCTTTAAAGGGATTCAAGGTGAAACTTCCAGTATAATCAAAATATGAATACAAATATTTTCCCCTGATAAATTGAAGGTGGATTATTTGTTAATGAACACATAGTATCTATATTTACAAAGCATTTTATATGTTATTTATGGAGAAACTAATATGATATGTATTGATACCACAAGCTAGAAGTGGCTACATGTAACAGAAAAATCATACTTTCTCAGAATATTATTTCAAACCAATCAGTTTTTCAAGATATCTGAAAACTTTTATGAATCATTCATCATTACAAAATGTGGTCAGCGGTACAGATTGATAACCATTTATAAATAAACATTCTTCCTGACCTTTGTCTAGGTTTATCACAATACATTATCACAATATTGGGACGTTCATCCAAAGATACTTACAGCAAGCAATGTTGGTAAAGTGACACTGCGAAGATGGAACCCACAAATTTGAAGATCCTGTATCAAAAACTACTTTGAATTTTTGAGGCGGGTTTCCAATGCTTATAGGTCCATAATACTGAGCCTGAGAAGTACGTAAATTAAATATGAATTCAAATTGAGCATTCTTAATTACTCAAAAAAAAGGGAAATGCTTACATCTAAGTAATTTGACAATGGTTCAGGAGTTGGTCCACTAACTCCTTTATAACTGTACCGCAATGTAACTCTGTTTACATCAGTTCCTACATCATGAAGCGTTCTTCTCACAGATGTGAATCTTTCTAGAGGAACTCTGAAAGGTCGAATTTAAATAAAAATCCTAAAAATGTGTATTGTACTGCTCTGTTTTTGAATGGTTCTATTTCAATACTTTCATCGCACAAATTTTTGGCACAACAAATCACAGAAATAACAATGACTGTTCAAATTATATCCAATTTTAAATTATTTTATTTGCTCATGAAAAATATTCTAATACCTTATAAAATCGCCATCGACACTAAACACAATGCACAACGCTAACAAAAATTGTCGTAACATGTTCAGTGGCTTCAAGAATACAAATAATCAGTATTTTAACTAAGATATCAATCTTATTTACTTCAAACAGTAAACAATGAAACCAAACAAGACGTCCAACTACGACTCAGGACGAATGAAAATCCATGGAATCACCGATTCGCTAAACACATTATCTGTCAGCTGGTGTTGACATATGACAAATCGGGGGCCAGTGACCTTATGATATAGACTGGTCAGTGAACAGAGAACATTGACTTTAACAATTAAAAAATATATATATTAACGTTTTGGCATTTACGTCACTCATACACTTAACATCAGAAACGTCACGATTCTTTACGTGTTAGGGATTTGATTTGTCACATGGTGCTGTGACGCAATAATCAAGACGTTGTGTCATCCGCAGATGGAATAATATGTAGAAGTGAAGTCACGGCCAGTCCATATTATTATCATATCTATGCAGACTTTTATGAACCTTTTGGAATCAGTACCCCGTTATGTAAATTGCTGAACGGAAGTTGTACCTCTAAAAAAAAGAGATCCAATTGATATGGCTGATCAAAAACCGATATCATTACTCCCTATATTCCAAAAACAAACACTTTTTCAAACATAAAAAAGTTGATAGCGCCCTCTCGGTGACAAGTGATGCAATACATTTGTGTATTGCACAGAACACCAAACAATTGTTTACTAATCTGTGATTATGTCTGCACTGTTTGTTTTATAAGGGTTCTTCCATTTTAAATGGTGACATTGTATATACAGAAATTGGATGTTTTCTCGCAAGTTTATATTGAAAAACACATCTAATGATGACACTGACATGAAATGATACTTGCCTTTTTACAAATAAGTGAAAAAACTAGGGGGTGGCAGCATTGATTTCGGCAAGACTGCTGCGCCCCCCACGAAAACTCTTGTCAATACGCCGGAAAAGAGGAAAGTAACGGCCATGCAAAAGTGGAAAGAAAACTTTTTTATTATTATGTATTCACCCATTTCTAGGTTGGGGGGTGCAAAACCTTACTGAGGTTTCTCTGAAGTAAACTGTATTCCTCGTTTTATTAGTACACTTGAAAAGGAGGGTGTAAATCCGTTGTTGCGTACAGCGCCATCTGCCCTCGAATAGATCAAGCAATAAAGTTGATATGTCAAAGCTGTTACATACACCGCCATCTGCCCGTGAATAGATCAAGCAATGTCGATAATTCTGGAGTTATAAACAAACATTCTTACATACATACAGGTAAAGCATATAACGGGAAGGGAGCTCGTCATATAGCGCCTACAAAAAAGCGGATGTTAATAAACTAAGGAAGATGAGTTGGTAATTTCAATACTACTTTCTTGCTCTAAATCAAGAAGAGTAAGAAAACGGTACAGTTCAAAAACTGGAAAAATCCAACACAAGTATTGCTTTGAAACACCTCTTTTCGAATCACGTGTCACCAAATAGTTGGTGAGACACGTGTCCAGATAAGTGCTGCAGTTCTAACGTTGGAGAGCAGCGCTCGTTTTGGATACAACAATAAATGTTAGAAATTAAACTCGGAGAATGAAACACAGAACCTGGAATAACTCTTTATTGCCATACCACTAATGAAAAACTGTTTTGTACCATCGGCATTGAATGCTCCATCAGGACGATAATCATACCAATACTATCCTAAATGCTATGTAACCAAAACCAAATGTAGATGGCAGCAGTAGTCGCCGACTTCAGAACCTGTATGGGAAAGTTAATTCCCAACACAGCGCCCCTGCTATCAGGTAAACTTGATCCGGTTCTCAAACACGAAATACTGTTAGTCGGCGTATCAACATGTGTGTATTTGGTATAAAACAAGCAGTACAAAATTAGTAGATTTGATATGAACACATTTAGAAACCACTGTTAGCGAGAGGTAATGGCAGAGCCGCTCCTAGAGATTCACCACATTTTACAATAATAACAGAACTCTTACAACATTCTAGGGACACGTCTTCTGCGCCGTTAATTCGATATATTACACTGACTTGACAACACGGGAACATTATTTTACTATTGGGGAGAAACTAACGTAGTCAAAATTGTAGTAAAAACCTTAAGTACACAAACGCACCTATAAAAAAATCTTGGCACGCTCCGACAACTCTTAGGAAATATCAACACCTTCACTTGGAAGCTGTGCCAAAACAACTAAAAATAAATGCAATTCCCTAAAAATAGTTTTGTGTCATGTAAAAATATGTGCAACGTTAGGGCCACCAACGGTCACTCTCACGCTCAACCCTATCATTATACATAAATCATAAAAGGAAAAGTACAATTCAAAACTTAAAATGAAATCATACGAAGATTAAGCTTTCGCCTCAGCTTCAGTTTTCGACTCTGCTTCTACCTTCTCGTCGAGTTTGGCCTTCTTTTCGGGGGTGCCTTTCGGGGTGGTGCTGTCAGTGGCATCTCCGCCCCCCGTCGACTTCCTCTTGGCAGATGGTTTCTCTGCTGAATGATGAAAAAAAAAAAGAAGTGAGAACACGATAGATAATGGGAATCGCTAATTCAAATGTTGCTTATTTCGATCAAATCGAATAAGCATTCACTGAGATGTTACAGTTTACTTTTTTCATTCAATGTGAAATGACCAAGTTTTGAAATGACCAAATTCTGACCCCATACGAACGACAAGCCTCAGAAATTGAGAAACTTGTGCGTGCTAAGGAATAACGAGGTCTCACCTTTTAACGTGTGATTCCTAATACGGTTGCAGAAGCATCCCAGCTTCAACCAGATAAATTCTCTCGAGGAAAATATCTGGTCGTGGCGGGAATCGAACCCACGATCTTCCGATCGTGAGTCGGGCGCACTACCACCGCGGCCAATTCCATGTGTTGTTGCTTGAAGATATTATAAACTACAGTGCATTTCTTTAATGTCCCCCCCTTTTATTTTTTGAACTGGCCAACTCAAAAAATTGAAATTTGGGATAATGAAATTAATGCATGAATATTTTATTTTGAAGTGAAATTGACAGATGAAGCTTTCAAGATGGCGACTGGACGCCATCTGGGGAAAAAAAATTATCCTGACGAATACTTCACAACCCTAGAATATGAAGTCAATATCTTCACCTACTACAAAATAGCGGAACATTTAATTATTTCCTGAAGACGAACACATTATTATCGATATTTCTAGAAATATTCCTTTCAAACTGCCATATGGTAATGCCAACAACCCGAGATAAGGTTTGTCAAGTTATTTTTTGTTTATAGATAGATAGATAGATAGATATATNAAAAAAATTAATTCTTCATATTTTATAGTAAAAGTCTGGGTTTGATTAGTCAAAACATGAACCGAAAAAAAAAGAGAAAAATATGTTTTTACAAGCTACAGCTGAGCTGAAACTCTTTTTAAGCCGAGATCAAAAACCTGCTTGTAGCTCTTTTCTTTGACTTTTGAGATGTATTCATCGATTTCCTTGAAAATAAAAAAAAGGAATTCTTCATATTTCATAAAAAAAATAGAAAAAAATGTTTTTACAAGCTACAGCTGAGCTGAAACTCCTTTTGAACCGAGATCGAGAACCTGCTTGTAGCTCTGTTCTTTGGCTTTTGAGATGTATTCATCGATTTCTTTGAAAATGAAAAAAAAAATAATTCTTCATATTTTACCCAAGGATCTGCCAGCACACCCTTTCAATTAAACAGTGATTCACCTAAACTAGAGGCGAAAAAGCCCTGCATGGCTGAATCTAGTGTATCATCAGGTAAATGACTCACATATGCATTCATATGGGAAGGCTGCGGTCACTTTGAACAGCCGACAATATTATGACTTAGCACATGTACTCAATGTACCAAAGTGTCAAATAAATAAATAAATAAATAAAATCAGTGCAGGTGGAAAATAGTGGCCAAAACTGAACCTTGAGGGACACCAGAAGCTGCAATCGCTTCTACAATCATAATTCATACTTTTTTGGAAGAAACGGGTTTTGACTTTCTACTATTCCATCTTCAAACAAAAGCCAGAACCTTTCTTTACAAAAAAATGTATCTCTCCCAAAAAATATACCCCTTTCAATTCAATTACGTCTACATTTTGAAAACATTTTTCAAATATCTGCAAGAGTAACTCTTTACTGAGTTTCTAGTAGATTTCATAGCGCAGGCAAATTAAATCTTTTTTTGGCTGTAAAATTCATCAATTTACAGTATATCTTAACAACACTTTGAATCCAATATATTTTTAAGAAAAATTAATTCTCGTTCGTAAAAAATATTGTTTAGACGACGTAACCCCTCAGCTCTCATAATCTAACGCACACAAGGCCTCAACTTCGCAAAAAAACAGCAAAGAATTATTCTAAGCCCAGTAATCCACTGTTTTTGCAAAGTCCCCCTTAGCAGGATGTTTCACATCATCGGGGTTGAATTGTTTTACGGTCTGAGTTCATTTAGAAAATATCACAAAAAAAAGCAATTGAATCAATACTCAGTGCAAAGAAAACAAGAAAAGTTATTCAGTATAGTGAATGTGTTTTATTGATTTTAATTCTCGTGATTGAAGTATGAATTATAAATGGTCGATGCTTTCCTGTCCTGTATATATTGATTTCCAAGTGAATGAACTTTTATAGTCATGGGAAATTACCATACACATTAAGGAATAATTGTGTTTGCTCATACTTTGAATTGCAGATTTTTAAAATATTTAATAAGAGTGAAAAACTTGCTCTGCAGGAATATTCAACTAACCTCGCTTATTATTATTATTATGATTACCAAAAAAAAGCAATTTCACTTTTTTAAACATCACACGTATCTTTAGTTCTTTAGATTGCAAATAATCTCAGAAAATGCAAATGAAAAGTACGATTCCTCTACAAAAAAAAGACTCGTGATATATCTAGAAACCGTGTTAGGAATGGCACACTTAAAGATAAGACCTCCTTAATCTTCAGCACGCACAAGTTTAGAATTACAAGGGGGGGGAGCCTGTTGTTTAACGGAGAAACAGATTTTGAACAGATCTGCTTCTCTAGTGACACAAAAATGTCAAAGTTACGAAAAGACTGCCTATCTGGGAAGAGCGAGTCATAAACTTGTTGGTGTCTATTTGCACAGAAAGAGGCATTCGTTTTATTCAACAATAATAATAGTAATAATACTGTACTGCATTGAGAACCATATAAGCACGTCAAAATCACCAAGTGATGTAATTTTCAAAAAAACCTGGCATGGAAACAACTGTCCAAATTATGATTTGTAGTAGGTTAGCTCCAAAGTGACCCTCCACCGCAACCCGCAAGGGTTTATTGTGGCTATGATTTGTAGTAAGAATAACCAATCAATAGGCAGTGTAAAAAAAAGCTGAAAGGAAAATGCGAAAATTACGGTCTAGAACTAATCTTTGACTTGAATTTGGGACAAAACTGTTGATCATACTCGTAGCCACAAAACACTATTCAACCAACTGGTATGGTTGTTAAAATAGCTTGTGGTGTTCGCTGTCCATCGCTGTCCAGCCATTTGAAATTTGAATATTGAAACTAGTTCTAAAAAAAGAATTCTGCCGAATGCAAACAATCAAATCGCTGCATTCATGAATATAATTAAGGTTATTGTCATATCGCCCCTCGTAAAGCGTCTGATTTCTGGCAAGCCTTCAAAAGTATTGATGTTTGCTCCAATAGAAAATAAATGTTTTCCAACGGGCTTTTCCTCTACACATTCTTAAATGAATTTTCCTTTTTATTTTCAAAGAAACAAGCAACTAACCTTCAGGCTCAGCGTCTTTGGCTTCCTCGCCATCCTTTTCGTCATCTTCAGCTTCTTTGGGGTCTTTCTTCTCGTCCCCGTTTTCAGCTTTGTCTCCATTTTGCACAGATTCTACTGGCTTTTCTTCAGCTTTCGCCTTGTCAGGTACTTCGACAGCGTCAACTTCTCTGCAAATGGAGGATTTTATTAACGGTTTTTGCTATAATTCATTTGAAGAAGGGATTCAATAATGTCATGCTTTGGAATATACCCCTCAGCTCTCATAATCTTGCGCACACAGGGCCACAACTTCGCGAAAAAACAACACAGGAATAATTCTATGTCCAGTAACCAACTGTTTTCGCAAAGCCCTCCCTAGCGTTATATTTCACATCATTGGGGCCTAAAATAATTATGCTCAGCTCGTAAACTCTTCTAGATAGTAAGAATATTCGTTTAATCGCTTGTATAAACAAAAATATTAAAGAGATTCAAAAAATGTACAAAAAGTTCACTGACAAAAATGTATATATTTCCACGCGGTTGGATGAGAACGAAGTTGGACATGGGCAAGGACATTGAGCAAGGGCGATGACCTCTTGAAATTAACGAACCATCGCGTAACATCTTATCAAATTATCTTTCTAATTTCCCAAGACATTTATGGAGCCAGTCGGCTAGCAAATTAAGTAATTCTTTGAAGATAATAAGCATAACGTTTCATTTCAGAACTATATTTATATATTGGTCGCTCATAAGCCTATAAGTTTTTGCCATCCCTGTACATACCCTCGAAGGGGAACTCCAATCAGCAACGAAAGAAATGATATTAGCTCCTATAATTTATTATCTGAGGCCTAGAAACCCTTGACCTGATTCACCGGCACTTTAGACTTACTGAAACTTGGTGCAACGACCAAAACACATACATAGCTTAATAGTATTAGTCCAATAACAGTTATAATTTCCATAATCAGGGAATGCGGGGATGGTTACCGCCGTCGTGTTTAGTTCAGGAACTGATCGCGATTTGAGTGTTGAAATTAGATATTGGTGCAGTTATAATTACTTGAAGTTTTTGTTATCTGTTTTAAATGTGGCGTCCTTAGATAAGTACTAATAATAATAACGAGTATGATAACAACGGTCTTTTTCCTGTGTAGTGATTCCAATAGCGATGGTGAACAATGCGAAAAAGAGATACCAGTGAATAAGATTCGGATGCATTTGAATATTGAAACGCAGAGAGTATGTTTCAATGTGTATAAGAATCTACATCTCATATTTGGGAGCGAGGGAAACAAACTATTACAAGCAACATCAGATTTGATGGAATTTCCTTCATCAACTGTACGTAAAATAGTCAAAAACGACCCTTATGAACGCAATACGCGATCTGACGAAATGGTAGACTGATGGTTCGCGAATGTGTACGCCTAACATGCCTGCAAACAAAGGATCACGACTAATCATTGTGCATTACGGAGGAAATAAAGGATGGGTTCCGAATTCTTTGAGGACTACAATGTTGAATGAGAACATGGAAGCTAATATTTTCGAGGAATGGTTTGAAAACACATTGATCCCAAATTTGGGTGAGAATAATGTAATAGTTCTTGACAACGCCTCATATCATTCGCGACAGCTCATGAAAGTACCGAATAAAAATTTGAGGAAAGATGAAATACAAAGTTTTTCAATGGATAACAATTTGTGTTTTGAGGATTACTATACCAAAAAAACCAACTATTTTAAGTTTTACAGACTAAACATTTGAAAAAGTGTATTTATCGAAACCAAACACCAAAAAATTTCTATTCGAAATGTTCGATGTACGTTTCTAAGGAACAGAATTTCCCTCTTCGCCTTAACCGGAGTCCGACCCTGGTGGCCTAGATGGGTTTTTAATTAAATTATTCTGCTCCGGCAATTTTTCCACCTGTTAATTAACGCCTTATAACAGGGACAGATGACTCGAAACGGGTGATGTAAGAATTTCGTTATTTCTATTAATAGTTCCTCATGAAAGTGGTAGATCCAAAGCGAAGCGCTGGAAAGTCATGCATCCGAGCTTACGAGAATTAGTACAGGAAATGAAATTCCTCAAACGAAACTGTGCGAAACCTCGCGACCAATGTCGAGCCTGGGGCAGTTTTTGTACTTAATTTCCTGTACTAAATCCACTGTTAGCTGCAATAAATTAACAGCAAAAACGTTTACATTACGATGCAAGTTGTTTGAACAGGATGATCTCAACGATTTACTGCATGGTTTCATATTTAAATACGGCGGCTTCATAATTTCCCAGAACGGATTGAAATGCGATGACACAGAAAAAAAACTTGTTCTGAATTCGGAAATGTAAGCAGTTTCGACGACTTCCTTCAAATGAACTGTGATTAAAGAATTTGAACAATCCGCATCGAAATGAATATCCACACACAGGATTCCTACATTAATTCATTTATTATATTGTGTAGGAATCCTGTGATTGATGTCTGATTCGATTCCATACGAATGTTTGGAATACAAAAAGAATATAGAAAAGTGTTTATCGTATAATTCAGTGTTCATATAAAAGTTTTTGTTTCAAAAATATTTTTCTATCGTGTAATTCAATGATTATATGAAAATAGGTGTAGGACTTTTTCTACTGTCTTTCCCAAATATCCACACCTGGTGAAACGAGACTACGACTATGAAGATAGAAAAACATTCAAATTGGTAAAGGTGAGGAATTTCCCATCGTGACGAAATTCACAGGGAGGCCTCAAAAACGTCATGATTGTTGAAAAGACAAGTTTTGTGAATATTTGTCACATTTATAAATCAAGCAATACCCAAAATCCAAAACCTATAGATTCAAACATCTGTGCGTCTCACAAGCAAAAATAAAGAATAATTGCAAAAACAAAGTATTGTCAAAAGAAGTTCTAAGAACCAGTATTTCATTAAAAATCTATTAGGTGTATGCAAACCATGTCATATTCTTTACATCTTTAGTACAAAAGTGGTACAAACATACTTTTTGATAATGCTGTGACCTTTTTATTTATTAGAAAATGTGGTCTTGTGACCCCTCTTTTGATAGGTACTTGAGTTCTCTGTCCGACACTGCTTTACTTTCGAAAATCGGACCAGCCGTTTTTGAGTAATTATCAGTTTTATAAAGAGTCTACAAAAAATCGCAATGTCAGTTATCTGGGTTGTTATCAGTTAGTTTAACGTGTAAATATATGAAGATATTAAGTAAATGGCATTTGCGATGCAGCTGTGAAAATACATAGATAACAACTTGTATAAACGGAAACGCACTCATGTCTGAAAATTTAACTGACATAAACTAAACCTTTCTTAGATTACTTTGTAATTATCATCGTGCTTCTGAAAATCTTCCGTATACTGGTTAAAATAATTATGAAATACTTTATTATTGAAATACTTTATTATTTTACAGTTACTATTGGTAGTATTTCCAAGATTTGACAGTTGTCATCCTAACCTATACATATATTGGAATGGCAAACACTGAAAGGGGCGCATTAAAACAAGGCATAAAAACCTGAACATCAATTGAATACCTAATATCAGAGACCGACTCTGTGTTTCCCAAGCCCGCATTGTTACAGTATTACACACAGGTGTGAAAAGGTTTCAGAAATACCTACTCGTATTACATCATGCCATTAAAATTATGAAGGATAATAAAGCAGGAGACAACAAGCAAATTTCAAAACTTCATTAATATTACTGCAAAAAAGTCAATAGTGAACTACTAGTTGCAATTGCCGGCTTGTTCAATTTGTTTTCATTGGAAACATTTTCCAATGTAGTATTTAATTCTCACTCATTCAGTATATAACAAATACATAAAAGTGTATTTCCAGCAAATGGTAAAATTGCACCTAAGACAGGTACACAGCAGCGCTTGGTGAAACCTCAATTTCCCCCTTATCTAACGATTTTAACGGTCAACGTAGATAAATCTACCGCCACCGAAACGATACAATCGAGTCACCCTGTATATAGCTTCAATTTCAAATGAGCATGCTGCCCCCTTTCAAAAATCACAAAAGTGTGGCACTGGAACGAACAAAATCCGAAAATAGAAAAAAAAGCGAACGCTTTGAGCACGAACACTGTCAAATTAACCGGGCATTTTAACACCGCCATATCTGCAGAGATGCCGCCAAAACAAAGAAAGCCTAGCAACACGCTCCAAAGAGGCGAATTCGTGTAAACAATAATTAAAGTTACTTACTTTTGTTGTTCTACTTTGTCTGCCATATTTTCCGTTGATTTTTTACTAATAATTCACTGAAAAAATCAGCAAAACTGAGGAGCGTGCACGTTTGTCTAAGAAGCAAGCGAAACGGTAAAAGAGTAAAGAGAGAGGTAACGCGAAACAGAAACGCGAGCTAGGAAGCTTACGGATGCGTTACTCTGATTGGTCGAATAGTTTCAAGGTAATCAACGATCGAATTATCGTCCGTTTCCGGTTGGATTCGACGCGGAAAAATGTTCTTTATGGTTAGTTTGATTTCAGATTATTATTTCGTAAACTTAAATTTATTCTTATTATTTCGTAAGGGGTTTTCTATAGGAAGAATTTAAAACCGCTGTTTATTCCTTATGTAAACTGATGATAGGTTTGAAATGCCGTAATGGAATATTTTCTTTTCATTCAATTGTTTTAGGAGCTTGTCAAGACACGTGCAATGATGAAAACCAATCTTTGAGAACGTACAAGATTCTTTTAAAATTTAGAATCAATCTTTTATTTAAAAAAACTTCTGCAATTGGGTTTTTTCTGGAAACAATTTTTACAAACTTTATAACGTAGGCGGGAATGCATAGAACCGACCACCAGCGGGAAATGGTCTTGGCACACATATTGTTTCAGTGGCGTGTTTGTTAATTTTTACAGGAAAAGAAATATGTTGTGTCAAGAAAAATCAGATCAAATGTGCACCTTATCTTGGAAGTTTATGCAATGAAACTAGTAAAAGACCTTTTTCGGACTTTATATAGTCCCAAAAAGGTAGAAACCTATATCTCCACACATTTTTTGAACAGTTGCAAGTAGAGTTGAACGACAATGCATTCCAAGAATTTTGTATAAATATCGAAGAACTGTTCAAAAGCCAATTTTTATGGAACACATATGTTTGTTTTTGATACTTTCTGGCAACTAAAAGTAGCGGAGAAAAAAATTAATGAGTACTGACACGAATTGATTTGTTTAACGCGAGCTATGAATTAACAGAATATGTATAATTGTCAAATTTACTGTCAAGTACTCAAATTATCATTCGATTAGTGTGAATTTGTTAGTGGAAAACCATGAATTTTTCTAGTGACGAGAAAGTTTATATTATTCTTCGTATACGCGAGATTTACGTTTAACTGACTATGGTAGAAGAAAAATAATAACTGGATTTAATGTTTGGCTCAGAGGACACCAAGATTATAGGTCGCTACTTCTTTGAGGCATCTTTGATGGAGGAATAATATCTGGAATTATTGTTGAGTTGTTGAAAGATTTGCCTCTAAAAATTCTGAGAGAATATTAGTATTTCCAGCATGATGTAGCTCCGCCACTCCGACCTTGTAGGTCTTACCGTTTCCTATATAGTAATACTGGGATTAGCTAAAAAACAGCCTTCTCGACACGCGTTTCACCAAGTTGACGTCATTAGGGGATGAATGATGATGTCGGGATTCCATGTAGGTAAGTGAAATTTCAAATCGTAACTCATTCATACTCTATATTGTGTAGCTATTCTTATTCAATTCCATAACGAATGTTTGGAATCCAAACTGAATAGGAAAAAGTTATTTTTGCATTGTTCAATGTTCACACGAGGAGAAGTTGTTTCGAGGGGGCTTTTTCTTCCCGTTTTGTGTCTGAAAGTTACTTCTTTGCATGATCTACACATTTTTGTAAAGAGTTTATTTTGAAATTAATTTCTCCCTTCCTTTGAAAGTTCTTCACATTTTTTTGTATAAAGATGGAGAAGTAAAAAGCCAAAACGTTTCTTCCCCAGGATCTTCTCTAGATGTGACTTTTAAAACAAATATTGTTCAGTGGATACCTATTCGTTTTAGATCGTTAAAGTAAACAGCATATACATTTGTTTCCGAACAGTGTTCTTCCTGGACGGCACTGCTAGGTCACATATAAAATGTAATTGACCTCATTACACAATAGCACCGTGCAGAGTTATTTCTGAATTGTCAGGGTTACAGGTTACAGTTGAAGTTAAACCTAGGCTGCCATTTCCTCCTCTGTAAAGTGTGAAGGTGACGTCACAGTCATTTTTTAAACAGAGCACATGTCCACGACAGGAAATCAATTCACAATATCATTTCCTATTCAAGTTGGCGGTAAATTCAAAAGATAGCGTTGAGATTAAGCTAAGAAAAAAATGCGGCATAACATAAAGGGGTTTCTGTCCGGTGACGTATTATTATTAATATAATATAGCACAAGTTCTAGGTTGTGGATATTGATTGTCATTACTGGTATCTATTTCTACCTAATAATGTAGTTAAAGCAGAAACAAGCACTTTTCCAAGGGAATATTAGGAAATACTCTTGAAATATGAATATGTGTACATTGGAATTAACGATGTTTTATATAAAATATTTACCTAGGTACTTCTAAAAATTAATTCTTGCACCCAGTAATTTACGGTACTTCAAATTTCCCTCCTATCTAATCACGTTTTTGTCATGCGAGTGTTCCATTGGTAGCACGAGTGTCATATGTCGTTCATGTTCCTGAGAAAAGACGTCAAAAAACTGTTGATGCTATCCTTCTTATGAATGAACCGACCTGCTATTTGATGGAAATTAATAACATTATCCATGATAATGATTGAACAATTTCAACAGAAGCGACACTCATATTTGGCGGTACTTTGAGGTGTCAAATTTCTGTGACTGATAGAGTTTTCTATTGTGAATCCGGGGCACACTTAGTGTATGTATGTCCTTTATTTCTCAATATATTGATGCAGGATGGAAATAAACTGAATATGCAACAGTTTCAGCGACGTAAAACTACCAATCTGCATTGTTGTTGGAGGCGTTCATTCATTTTTAGCGGTAAATTCAATCAAAATTTCGATAGATTGAACAGGTGCAGTGTATCTGTTAGCCGAGAAGGTCAAAAGAAACATCAAAAAGTCCTGTTAGCTGCCCAGGAAGTTTGTTGTGTTACCTTTAGCAAAAGTGATCTACTTAATTTCCAGTTTTTCGTATCTATAACGATCGAACCCAAAATATGACTCTTATCAATTAATAATTGAACAAATCAAAACACAGAACACTCCAAATCAATGAAAAGACCTATGTTTCTATTCAATTGTTCCGGTCAACTGTTTGTTTGATGATTAGCGCCTTCATCGGTAGAAATTCCCAATAATCCGTAGAAATTACAAAGAAAACTATTCTGTTCCGTAATGCAAGCTATACTAACACCACCTATGAGCGGATTCCTGAAGGAACTAGTCTAAGGGGATTTTTAGCTTTGTTACTACTTGACCAATGATATTCGATTCAACCCGAAAAAAAAATCAATTTTCTTGAAAATGCGCTCTCCGTTGCTTCAACACACTTTTCTATAATATAGTGTTCTATATAGGGCGGTCGGACAAAAATTTTGTATTATTGAAGAGTGAGAAAATAGTTGTGTCCCTCGCCGCAGAGACGGCGCCACCAATTTTTTTTATCAAATGGAATGGAAAGAGGAGTCTGTGATGTTTAACTAACTAAGTATTTCAATTCTCTATCCAACACTTTTTCATTGCTGGAAATTCGAACAACGTTTCCTTAGTAATTTGGCAGTTTCATATTCGTTTCAAGAATCTGCAAAAAATATCATAATCACTTCTTTTTCTATCCAAGAGTTCTGGAATTAACTGTGGTTATATATTATACAGTTTAGATGTCGCGTATCCCGTCATAAACATCTAGGGACGTCTTATCAAGTGATATAGTGGACTTTTTTCTAAGGGACTTCGGATGTCTGTCTACCGTCTTTGATAACGAAGGACCTGTTTTTCAAACTTGAACTATTGAACACAAGATGGCAGCAAAATGAAAAGCAGTGCCACCTACTAAAATTGTGGAAACTGTCTTGCGTCATCGGTTGCGTCAAGAGCTCGCGACTCGATCCAATCCAAACCCTAATGAAGTGAAAATTCGAGTCAAAGTTAGCAGCCATTTTATGCAGTTGTTGTGTTTTTACGAGCCGAAATCGCGAAGTGGTTTCCCGTCGTCTCATAATTCGTTGATAGTAGGCCGTGGGGAAGGAGTGTTTGTGAGATAGGACAGAGAAAGGAACGTTGAAATGAATTCGAAAAAAGTGTGTTGACATAGGACGATTATCCAGACATTCGTGTCCTCCGCTGTTGCAACCGAGAATCAACTTGGTGCTTAAGGCGGAGCGTTAACACTAAATTCGGAGCCCTGGAAGGTTTAAAAGTCCAAACCATGGGCAACAATGCCGCTACGGCGAACAAAAAGGTCGATTCCGCGGAGAGTGTCAAAGAATTCCTCGACCAGGCCAAGGAGGACTTCGAGGAAAAGTGGAAGAGAAACCCGACGAACACGGCCAGCTTGGACGATTTCGAGCGGATCAAGACTCTAGGAACGGGCTCTTTCGGCCGGGTCATGATAGTGCAACACAAACCCACCAAGGAGTACTACGCCATGAAAATCCTCGACAAACAGAAAGTCGTCAAACTGAAGCAGGTGGAGCACACCCTGAATGAGAAACGCATCCTACAAGCCATAAGTTTCCCCTTCCTCGTCAGTTTGAAGTTCCATTTCAAAGACAATTCGAATCTGTATATGGTGTTGGAGTACGTGCCGGGCGGAGAGATGTTTTCGCATCTCCGAAAGGTGGGAAGGTTCTCCGAACCGCACTCTCGATTCTACGCAGCTCAAATCGTCCTGGCGTTCGAATACCTACACTACCTAGATCTGATCTATCGGGATCTGAAACCGGAGAATCTGCTAATTGATTCCCAGGGCTACCTCAAAGTAACCGACTTTGGCTTCGCCAAGCGGGTCAAGGGGCGCACTTGGACTCTCTGCGGCACTCCCGAGTACCTAGCCCCTGAAATCATCCTCAGCAAGGGCTACAACAAGGCTGTTGACTGGTGGGCGCTGGGAGTCCTGGTTTATGAGATGGCAGCTGGTTATCCACCATTCTTTGCAGATCAGCCCATTCAGATCTATGAGAAAATTGTTTCGGGAAAGGTACGCTTCCCGTCCCACTTCGGTTCCGACCTGAAAGATCTGCTACGTAATCTGCTGCAAGTCGACCTGACCAAACGCTACGGCAATCTGAAGGCGGGTGTCAATGACATCAAAGGTCAGTAGCTCATCAAGAACCCAAACTCACTGAACGTTCTTTATTTATTCATTGATTTGACACTTTGGTACACTGGGACATTTGCTATGTCAATAAAATATAAACAAAAAAGAACACAACACTACAAAAAAGCAACACAAAATTATATCATCGATATAAATGTGCATGAAGCTAAAGAAGCTCTGTTACCAAATATTTTCAAAATGTCACAAGAAAGTATCACACGAAAATCCCTCTTCTCTGTACTAACACTTCTGCAAGAGTTATTTTATCACCTCAGTTCTAAAAAGTTTTTCTGACTCTTGATAGATTGTGGCAAATTATTTCAACTGTTTATTGTGTTGAATAATGTGGAGAATCTAAAATGAGTCGTTTTATGTAGGCGAATTTTTAGTAGGTTTTCCTAAAATTACAATTATCTAAGTGTATACTAGGCTTTATGTAGCTGACAAAGTTAGGAGACTGATTATTGTATATGAATCATATAACAACCGAATTCAGACAAAATTACAATCAACTAGACATAACAATTTGCAAATGACTAAATAGAATAGAAGAAAAGTAATGTCGACTATAACAAATATAACAGTTATGATATTTTTCAAGTGTGTACTAGGCTTTATCTAGCTGACAAAGTTGGGAGATTAATTATTATATGTGAGTCTACATATAACAACCAAATTTAGACAAAATTACAATCAAATAAACAACAATTTGCAAATGACTAATTAGAATAGAAGAAAAGTAATTTAGACTGTAACAAATAAGTCACCCTTGAAAAATATCTTCATGAAATTCTTCAAGTTTGTAATAGGCTTCAAGCTGTTAGTTAGGAGTTTAATTATTTATTATATGTGAATCTTCATATAACAACCAAATTTAGACAAAATTACAATCAAATAAACCAACAATTTGCAAATGACTAAATAGAATAGAAGAAAAGTAATTTAGACTGCAACAAATAAGTCACCCTTGAAAAATATCTTCATGAAATTCCTCAAGTGTGTAATAGGCTTTACCTAGCTGAAAGTTAGGAGTCTAATTATTTCTGTGAATCTATATATAACAAACAAATTTAGACAAAATTACAATCAACTAAACATAACAATTTGCATTCTTCATGAAATTCCTCAAGTGTGTAATAGGCTTTATCTAGCTGAAAGTTAGGAGTTTAATTATTTATTATATGTGAATCTACATATAACAACCAAATTTAGACAAATATAGAATCAACTAAACATAAAAATTTGCAAATGACTTTATAGAATAGAAGAAAAGTAATGTAGACTGTAACAAATATAACGGTTATGAAATTCTTCAAGTGTGTACTAGGCTTTAACTAGCTGACAAAGTTAGGAGATTAATTATTATGTGTGAGTACATATAACAACCAAATTTAGACAAAATTACAATCAACTAAAAATAACAATTTGCAAATGACTAAATAGAAAAAAAGAAAAGTAATGTAGACTGTAACAAATATAACGGTTATGAAATTCTTCAAGTGTGTACTAGGCTTTATCTAGCTGACAAAGTTAGGAGATTAATTATTAGGTGTTAGTTCATATAACAACCAAATTTAGACAAAATTACAATCAACTAACAATAACAATTTGGCAAATGACTAAATAGAATAGAAGAAAAGTAATGTAGATTGTAACAAATGTAACAGTCACCCTTAAAAAAATATCTTCATGAAATTCCTCAAGTGTGTAATAGGCTTTACCTAGCTGAAAGTTAGGAGTCTAATTATTATATGTGAATCTACATATAACAACCAAATTTAGACAAAATTACAATCAACTAAACATAACAATTTGCAAATGACCAAATGGAATAGAAGAAAAGTAATGTAGACTGTAACAAATATAACAGTCACCCTTCAATAAGTTTTGTACAAAATTGAAATGTCATTATTGAAAATTTGTTTCCCCCCATTGTTTTTTTCTGATTCATCAGAAAATTTGACTGTCGGTTGAACTATTTCCTTAATATTAATGTGTATTACTTTTACGTATGAACTAACCTTTCAAAAATATGTATTTCCTGAAGTCACCATATACAGGGTCATAAACATTTTCTTTGCCTATTTCAATTCTGTAAGAAGTAGCAGTTTTTTGTAGATTGAGCTGAGGCTTATTTTGTAACCGTGGTGCATTTTACAAAATGAAGGGAATCAATCGAATACATCTTGTGCAATTCAAATTTTGCACATCCTTAAATTGGTTGCCAGTAGGAAAACTGTTTAAGATAACTTTTTTCAATATTTTGAGAAATAACCACTCGTTTGTAGAATTATAAAAAAAATCTTTACCGGCCACTGCGTATATATTTGACAATATGGTACACTCAATGTATGCCTATAATGACATTTTCAATTCAACTCATTCATTAATTCCTTCCAGGTCACAAGTGGTTCGCGTCCACCGACTGGATATCCATCTTCCAGAAGAAGGTGGAGGCTCCGTTCATCCCGCGTTGCAAGGGCCCCGGTGACACCAGCAACTTTGACGACTACGAGGAGGAGGCCCTACGCATATCGTCTACGGAAAAGTGCGCCAAGGAGTTCGCCGAATTCTGAATCGGTCTCGGGTCGCCTGTAAGTAGCCTTGCCACTTTAACGGGCCGATAGCGGCCCGCCGTCGATCGGGGCTCTTCCATTGTCGGTTGCGTGCTTGTCCGATCGGACCTCTGCACCGCCAACCGCAGTTCATCGCCGCTGAAGTGGCTTTTGTGTCGAATAGGTAGAATAGGTTTGATGTGTGATGGAGATTTTTAGCGTATGATTTATTGTATTTTTTATTTATTAGAAGTTATTGTATATATTGTATAATAGCCGGTGAAGAGTGCACTATTTACATTAAATAGTGCGCGCAAATCAGTTTCAATTCTCGCCCCGGTGCAGAGGGGCCGATCACGTAAGTATAGGAGTTAAGCATTACCTAGTATGAAACAATCGTTGTAGTGATTAATATTAGGTATGAAGACGTTAGGCTATCATACAGCTGCCTCAGAGAGCTTCAACTTCCATAATGTTTTTTGTCCATATCAAATATTTTAAAAGTAATTCTCCTGTTATTGTTGAGCTGGCAAGTAATTCGCGTTTCGCTTCTTTGTACTAGTCAATTTTTTTTTGTATGGATCCAGCAGCAACGTGATATTTACCTGTTGTTTTCGCTCCTGTTTGTTGATGTTGTTACACACCTTGTTGAAAATTTCTTGGTGACGCCCCTGTATCTTTTCGAAACTTTCCAAATTGGATATTCATTGCCCATATATACGCCTGTTAATGTAGGACTTCTGACACTAATACAATTTCAGTTGATTGAATTTTTTAGCAAACTTTCATCGTGGAAATTCTAGGGATCTAAATGGAGCTTTTTTTAAAATAAAATTGAGGTTTTATAGCATTTTTCTCCGTATCTCCATGAATGGCAGGTGACCTTGACTTTCAAATGATTCAAAAGGTATAGTCAAGGTCAAATCCAAGGTTACCATTAGATAGTCAGGAAAAATCCTAAACCCTGTGAATTTTGGTAGAAGACCCAAATACCAGGGGTTCGGGATTTTTCCCTTGCTCAGGATTTGTAGGTCAAGGTCAGTTTTTCAAATGGCAACCTATATGCAATCAAGGTCATGCCTGGTTGTACTTTCCGCAACGAAAATGTAGGTTTCCATTCAGAAAAATGAACTTGACTTTCAAATAATTTGAAAGATGATTGCCAAGGTTAAAACCAAGGTTACCAACGGTTAGCCAGGAAAAATCCTAAACCCTGCGAATTTTGATAGCAGAAAACCCAAATACCAGGGGTTCGGGATTTTTCCCTTGCTCATAATATGTAGGTCAAGGTCAGTTTTTCAAATGGCAACCCGTGTTAGGAATCACACGTTAAAAGATAAGACCTCGTTAGTCCTTAGCTCGCACAAGTTTCTCAACTTCTGAGAGTTGTCGTTCGTATGGGGGCGCAGCTGATTAACGGAAAAACAGATTTTAAACAGATTTTTAAACATACAATCAAGGTCATGCCTGGTTGTACTTTCCGCAACGAAAATATGGGTTTCCATTCAGAAAAGTGACCTTGACTTTCAAATAATTTGAAAGGTGATTGTCAAGGTCAAATCCAAGGTTACCAACGGTTAGCCAGGAAAAATCCTAAACCCTGCGAATTTTGTTAGTGGAAGACCCAAATACCAGGGGCTTCACGATTTTCCCCTTGCTTATGATTTGAAGGTCAAGGTCAGATATTCAAATAGCAGCTCATCTCAGTCAAGGTCATACCCGGTCGTACTTTTGCTCGCTCATTTCCTTTTTTGCGAGAAAATATAGGTTTTCATAAAAAAAGGTGACCTTGACTTTCAAGTTATTCAAAAGCTAATAGTCAAGGTCGAATCCAAGGTTACCATTGGATAGCCACGAAAAATCTTGAACTCTGGAATTCAGAAGGTAATAGTCAAGGTCGTATCTAATATTTCCATCGGATAGTCAGGAAAAATCCCAAATCCTTGGAATTTTAGTAGAAGACCCAAACACCAGGGGTTCAGTTTTGCTCTTGCTCATGATTTGAAGATCAAGGTCAGTTTTTCAAATGGCAACTCGTCCCAGTCAAGGTCATGTCTTTGTACTCCCGCCCACTTTTTTCATTTCCGCGATAAAAGATGGCTTTCCATTCATAAACGTGACCTTGACTTTCAAATGATTTCGAAGGTAATGGTCAAGGTCAAACCCAAGTTTGCCTTCGATAAATCAAGAAAAATCTTGAACCTTTGGATTTTTGGTAAAAGAAAACCCAAATACCAAGGGTTCAGGACTTTTCCTCGCTATCCTTGGATTTGACATTGGTCATGATTTAAATGTCATGGTTATGATTTGAATGTCATGGTCATGATTTGAATGTCAAGGCAACCATATACAATCAAGGTCATGCCTGGTTGTACTTTACGCGACAAAAATACAGATTTCCATTAAAAAAGTGTTTCATATAATTTAAAAGGTTACCATCGGACAGCCAGGAAAAATCCCAAACTACTGGAATTTCGGCAGAAGAAAACCCAAATACCAGGGATCCAGGTTTTTTTTTTGCTACTCAACGACGTCCTTGGATTTGACCTTGAACTCGATTTGAAGGTCAAGGTCAGTTATTCACACAGAAACCCATGAAAAGAATTGTTTAGGTAATATCAGAATTGGTAGACCTGTAATATTGAAAAATGGTATTATTTATGGCATTCTGTACATGAAATGATCGAGTTTGGCAAGAAGTAGTTTTCTGAAGTGCCATTTAAAATTCAATTCCTCGTGAGCCAATCAGCTTTTCTTGAGGTACAGGGGCTGCACCGTGAAACTTTTCACACCGTGTACATCTTAAAATTTATTTGATGTTGAGTTGAAACGTTAGAATTTCGATGGTTAATGCCACAAGGCAAGGTGGGCCGTTAAAACTGTGTAGATCTGAAGATAATTTTTTACCATCCCTCATACATTGGGAGCCGATTTTATACGAAAGGTCATCACATTTCTTTTTTTGTCTCCATATCAATATGTCGATACGTGCATGTTATGAAAGTAAGATGTCTGTTTAATTGAGTAAATATTCCTATACCGGTAATTTTATTTTATTCGATTCGCATAACAATGTAAAAAAATTTAATAAATAGCTGTCAAGTGAGATTGGGAGTTTCTTTACATATGTACAGCGCATATATACACACATGCACTTATATATAAGCAGTGTATATAATTATATACACACATATACATATTTAAATCCTTCATTTAGTCGAAGACTACAGTGCAGTGCGTGGAAATTTTTACATGTTGATAATTGATAAAGTACTTGAAATACAACACATACATATTCTTTAATAGAGTCTAAAGTACTAAAATACATGAAAAAAATTAATAAGTAGCTGTCAAGTTAGATTGAGGAGTTCCATTTGGATCAAATGCGTTTTTTCTGGATTGTTGGACAATTCCCAAGAGAATCTCTGTTGAGATTAAGTCTCACAGAGAAGGGAAGAAAGCTGACATGTAACACAGGTCTTACAACTAAAATACACACATCGGAAAAGTCTAGGGATATTTTTAAAAATGGCAATAATTTTTTTTTAGATCGCTTTAGGGAAAAAAGTTGACGGGTGATTATTAAACGAATGTAACTTACAACAAAATTTATTAAATGGTCAAAAATACTGAGTGCGCATATAAGCAAAACTAAAAAAAATATGGCTCTTCTTTGGCACCCCGAAAAAAAATCATAATACAAAAAAAATTGGAATCAGTACAAAGTATGGCCTCCACGCTGGTTTATTACGGCCCTACATCTATCGTGCATCGACAAAATGAGATTGTCAATGTCTTGTTGAGGTACATTTGCCCATTCAGCGATTAAAAGCTCTCTCAATTGAAACGTTGTGTGAATGTTCCCCATATGCGGAGTAATTCTTCGTTGAAGCATGTCCC